CTGTGCTGAAAGAAAACCTCTGAGCTGACTTTGTCCGTGCTTTGGGGGTTTCGAATATGTGGATCAGTCCAGTTGCTTCAGCCTTTAAGTCCCAGCATGTATCTGATTGCTATGTCATTTACTGTATATGGCACAGTGATGCAGTGCTTAACACTGCAGCTTTACAGCGCTGGAGCCCTGGGTTCAACTCCTGACCTGGGGTGCTGTCTGTGTGGAGTTTGTATGTTCTCCCTGTGTTTGTGTGGGTTTTCCCCAGTTGCTCCGGTTTTCTCTTACAGTCCCTAGCCATACTGGTAGGTTGATTGGCTTCTAGCAAAATAGCATAATTGGCCCTGGTGTGGCTGTGTGCCTGTCTGTGTCTGTCTGCCTTGTGATCGACTGGCATCCCCTCCAGAGGGTACCATCTCCTGTGCCCGTTGCCTGCTGGGATAGGGTCTGGCTCTCTCACGACCCTGAATTGGATGAAGTGGCTAGAAAATGGATGAATGTAAAGACGTTGGACTATACAGCATAACGTTTTGTTTACCCTAAATTAGGTAAGTCCAAATACAGATGCAGATGGTCTCCTCAATTTAAAAATTAATCACTTATCTGTTTTCTCTGCTTCGTGTTTTTTAGAAATCTCTATTTGTTATCTATGCATTAGCAATTCTGCAGTAGATGAATGCTCCCCCTGTCTTGTTTCTCTCTTGTTTTCTTGCTAATATTGTTAATGGGATGAAAACATGACACCTAAGTTGCAAATGTTTTTTTAATTATTTTTTTTCAAACGCAAACGATGTTTTGTATTGGAGAAGTACAAAACTTCCTGGCTCAAAATAGGACTTGGACCGTAATATTGTTACAGCAGCTGCTACTGCAGTACAAAAGACGAGGCAGTATGAGTCATCTTGCTTATTTGACTGCTGGTAGCTTATAGATCCAAAAGCATCACACAGATTTTTAGAAGATCCAAGTGAACTAAATGCTATAGTGTCATAAGGCAGCATGTTCCAAACACTTCTCTCTTTTTAAAAAAGAACAAATTGTGTTCTTTCTTCACTTTGCTTTCACTTTAAAGCCTTTGCTCAGTGAATTTCAGGTACTTGTTCTGTCCACATTGTGCATAAAGTACCCAGTATGATTTAGTTATTAATGTAGAATATGATCTTTTTACCAAATATTGTCAGTGTGCAATTTCATTTTTAGATTAGATCTTCTATCGAGCAAGACACAAGAGTGGTCTATGGGCTGGAAGGCAAAGGAGCAACCGAAGATCCTTTCAACGTATTTGTTGTGAATAAAGATAATGGTAACATCCAAGTCACAAAGATCTTGGACAGAGAGGAGTTTGCGAAGTACAATGTAAGCATAATTTTATCAGTTCCATTTTTTTTTCAATCCCAGAAGACGAATTGTTATTTACAGCAGGTAGATTGCCCTCTTCTTAAGAACGATCTCTGTTTGTAAAGCCCCATCGTGTCACTGTGTTTGTGTTCATTTTGTGCATTTCAGCTCACAGGAACGGCGAAAGATCTGCATAATAAACTCTTAGAGAAGCAGCTGGAGATTCAGATTATTGTTGAAGATAAAAATGACTGTGTCCCCGTCTTTAAAGACAACCAAAAAGGAGAAGTTCTTGAACGGAGCCCGACAGGCAAAAAAACAATATTTTCTATATTTCGAGTTTTATTGTTTTGTTTTTTTATTCACATGTTGCATTCCAGATTTCAAGCGCTGTCTTTGCACTTGTGACACATCTCTTTACCTATCTTCTTTTTGCTCAGCCGCCCTTCACAGGTCCACTGTGGCCTAAGTGGTGATGGGATTCCCTGTGTAACACAGCAGGCTGCATGGCCCTAGAGTTGGGTGGGTCTTCTCTTGTCAAGGGCATACTTGGCTTGTATACGTTTTGTTGACACTGCGGGGCTTATTTTGAGACACAGAAATGAATGGTCTGGAAGTGTACCTTCAAATGGAAGGTATACCAAGACAAATTTTTATTAACTTTCCAGAACAAAACTACAAAGACCTACTGTAAAAATATACAAAGAAGGGAAGTTCGCACAAACACATAGAAGAGGGGGATAATTAAATGTGCTTGAAAATCACCTTGAGCTAAGGTTCTCAACCTGTGGGGTGCATTCGAAACCGGGGTGAAAACATGGGATCTGAATACCAGTTGCTTCTGTTCAATATACAGTAGCTGCATGCTGGCTGTGTAGAGGGAAGACACTGGGAAGATTTGGAATTGTGAGCTGCACTGAATATCAACTTCTGACAATCCATTCATTCCCTCTGGCCTTTGAGTCTCAAACTTCCACTTAATTAAATTATTTCACAGAAAATTGAATTCTAGAAGGCAAAAGAGTGTGATTGTGTGTGGGGGGTTAAGACAGTTTGATGTATATTTCTGCAAATGTCACTCCTTCCTAATATTAAGAAAAGAGATGCCTAAATGGACTTCCAGCTGTACCTTTTTCCAAAGCCTTCTGCTCATTATCTAGTAGATGATGCATATGTTTCTGTCTGCTTAGAAAAAACAACTTAAATTAAGAACCTAAGACTGGCTACAAATGAGAGACCATCTGGCCCCCATCCAGAAGCCATCTGGCATTTGGGCTCATCAGCACCCCTGCAAGCAGCCTTGTAATTTTGGGGTGGCACCTGATATTGGGATGGTATGCCTGAGTATGATGCCTACTATGTAGAGGTCTGCATGGGCATGAAATTGAGGCCCGAACCCAGTCCGTACCTGAGACCTTGAGACCCGACCTGACCGAGCCCGAATGGTACTGCCAAATTTGAAACCCGAACCCGAAATCTCTTTTCCTCTCGGACCAAGGAGATGGATTCTCACAGACGTGGTTTTACAATGCTTTGGTTGGCTGCTATGCGTCTGAGTTGATAGAAAATGCCGTGCGCTAAGAAAAACTGGTATTTTATAAACCTGTAATACTTGTGAAAGTGGGGAATGGGTGATAACCGTTAGTTAGGAAGGCTCTGTTACACACATAATTCATTTTCACTCATTAGAAAACAAACCCGAACCCGTCCTGAGCCCAAAGTTGTAAGTGAAAAACTGACCCGAACCTGGCCCGAAACCCGATACTTTGTCGGGGCCTGTTGGGCTCGGGTCAGGTAGCAGACCTCTACTACTTGGCCATGGTAGGCCCCATGGTAGTGTCAGTAAGGGTAGAATTGTTCACCCTGGTATTCTGGCTAAATTCCACTTTAGGCTTGTTACCTTTCTCTCCTTAATTTAATTTCTGATTCTAATGGTGATCTGCTGTGAAGTGGAGCTGCTGGTGCACAATGTCCAGTCGTGCACTGTCCAAGTGTGTGCTGCACTTCAGGGGTGGATGAAGTGGCTCTCCCCTACATGTGAAACACATTTGGTGTCCTTAGGGATGAAAAGCACAAAGGAATTTCAAGGACTTATTTTCTCCTGCACTAGTGAACAGATATGGGATCACAGATTGCTGTAGACTGCAGTGATGGACTTCGTGACATTTGTAACATTCTAATCTCTGAGGCGTCAGGGTTAGTGATAGACTTCTGAATTGGGATATGAGGTAATGGTGTTTGGGAGAATGTTATCAATCATTGGTTCCTCATACAATTTGGGTGGGATTTCTAACATTTATTGCTGGCACAGAATGTGCAGAGCCCTGGCACAGCTCAAAGAGAGATACAATGTATGACATTGCTGCCAAGACTGTCTTCATGCCATCAGAGGATACGTGAAAAAAATGTTTATTGTTCTGGTTGTGAATCTCTTACACAATGAGCTCCAAAGTGCCTTACTGCACAGTTTGTATTATTTAGTGGAGTAATACAGCATTCACAAGTGTCCAGCCAGAACCAATTATTGTCACACCCTCTACAGCTAGAGGGTGCTCCTGCTCTGTCCTGTTCCTAGTTTCCCTGTGCTGTTCTTGTTCTTCCGGTGTGTCTTGCTGTCTGGGGCTTTATATTTCTGGGTCTCTCTATCCTCCTCACTCAGCATTGGGACGGGTTGTCGAGAGGCTCGCCTCACCAGGTCGCCCAAAGTCCGCTACCTAAGGCTCTCGTCTCGTTCCGACTCCGCCCGATACCTTGAGTGTTTGCTTCATTCCTGCCGCTACGCATAGGGTCCTGCTGTCCCTTCGGTCTCTCTCCACGGCTAGCCCCTGACTTCTGTGACAGTTATTCCATTTGTATTCAAAGCTGCCCACAACCTGTCCACATTAAGTCCATTTCACTCTATTCAGTTTGTGCAACAGTCCTTAGGGTCTTAGCCGTTTTGGAGACCTGAACAAAACCTATTCTTCAGAATTCAGAGAGTCCTGATTTTTTAAATCTGGTGGCAAGGTGAAGGCTGTTTTTGTTTATTTAATTACTCTGCTCTTACTTTTACAACATATCAAATTTTGACAAAATAAAATGTTTGTTCATAATTTTAGGTACTACCGTTGTGCAAACAACTGCTACAGATGATGATGACCCTGCTACCGATCATGCCAAAATTACATACCGTATCACAAGTCAGTCGCCACGATACCCAGATCAGATGTTTAAAATAAGTGAGAGAGGCATGATTTATGTTGACAAACCTACCCTTGACAGAGAAGTAAGTATTTTGGTTAAGTGATTTTATTTTAACTGCATTTCTCAGATCACTCTATTTCCATTTTACCATGCTAATGTAAAGTGATAGTCCATATAGAATGCCCTTTAGCACAATCCTCTTTCACAGGTAAAAACAAATGATGGAAAGCCTCTTAAAACTAGTATTACTAAGTATTAGTAATAAAGAATTAGGGGTCATTGCAAGCACGCACCCTTCCCCCATAAAAGCAGATAAATCATACATCGCTTTCGAAATCATGTGGCACTTTGACATTTCCTCTGATCACACTTCATGGCACAGGTAGCTTTGTGTGTTTGTTGGTGTATAACATCCATCCATTTATTGGCTAAGCACTTTATGCAGGTCAGGGTCACAGGGGGAGCTGGAGCTTATCCTTGCAAGCGCCAGGCACAAGGTGGGGTCCAGCCTGGACAGGACACTAGTCCTCCTCAGACACAGACACAGAATGTCTCTAGATAGATCCAAGGATTTGAACCCAGGGACCTAGTGCAGCAAGGCAGCAACGCTAACAACTGTGCCATCATGTTGTGCCTTGGTGAATAATATTCCAAAAAATTCACAATAGCTCCATGCTCAATCAAGCCAACCCACTGAGATATTCTGTTTCTTTTTCCTTTCATTTCTTGCCTTTGTGAGAGTTTGTTCCAACACGGCCCCTTTCCATTTTAAATTAAAAGGACACATATTGTACAAAACATCCAGACTATCTTAAGATTTTATTAAACTGGTTCCAGATAACTGGTGGTCAATTTTCTTTTCATTTCTGGATTCAGGGATTTCTGGATATGCTACAGTATCATGGGCTGCTGGAATGCAGTATTAGATCAGATTTGTTTTTTCGTTAGACGTCTGTTAACTTTATATTTGTCTGCAATTGAAAACATCTTTGAAGACATGATTGTACCAATATTTGTCAATATGTATAAGATATACAGTAGGGCTGTCAAGTGGGTAGTTTGTCTGTATATTGTCTCAGTAATGACTTGTCTTTATGTTTTATAGAGGCAAAATAACTATACTTTGATTGTACACGCTATAGACATGAATGGAGCACCCAATGGCAACACTGGAACAGGAACTGTTCACATTACAATCCTCGATGTCAACGATAATCCTCCTACGCTGGAAAAAGATGAAGTAATAAGGATTTTAAAATTTGATTTGTTAGTAGATATAATAACATTTTCATAAATCGCCTAGCATTCAGAATCTTAGTTCATAAAGATAAGTCTTATGTCTTGCTAAATTCATCATGGATTGTGTATCTGGTACTCAAAGGCATTTGAGTAATAATATATATACTTGCAAACGATAACGACTGTATATGACCGTATATGACAAAGTGACATATGGCTCTTCATGGACATTTTTGAGTAGAAAATATTATAACTTTTTGTCTTCCAGATTAAGCATAGCCCTGTCTGAGCTTTGAAAGGATTTTTATGAGAATTATTTTATTATATGTTAGATTTCACTTGAAGGAGACATCAATGGTGGCAAGAAAGGTTGTTTTTGAATTCAGTCTTCATGGGTTCCTACATGTGTAACCACAGTGAGCTACGAAGTGGTTTGCATTTATGTTCTAGGATATTTAGAGGTCATGGGTAAGGTTTCATTTGTTCATACCAGAACATGTAATGCCCAGAAACAATCTGAGAACACTCGGGTGTTTAGAAATGGTTGTGTAACCCTCACCAGACAGATGAGCCTCAGCTTCGTTTTTTCGGAGGACCTCTGGGGGCTTCTTTTGACCTGTTGATTGGCATGATCTGTTTCCATAAGCCAAATGGTGAGGACCAACCTCACAGTATTTCTGACCATTATACAGGACATGGGTGTACAAGCTCACTCTTTGTTTTATACGTTTCCCAATTATTTAATCACCGGATTAACCCTTTAATTGTGGTAGGTTAACTAAGGCTTCCCTTTTTATTCTACATCCACTGATTCATAATTATTTTTTTGGTTTACATACCATTACATTTAAAAAACACTGATATGGTGGTATATTTACACCATTTTGGTTACTGAAGAAATGACAGGCTTCGATTAAACAAGGGTATCATGGTAACTCTTCAGTGAATGCAGAAAGGGTTGTGTATAATGGAATACATTCAGACTGCCATGTTAGTCTATCAAAAATTGTACTTCTATGGGATCGAATTGCTCTTAAGGTTCGATGCAACACTGTTGTAACCATTGTGAGGGTTGAGTTGTTTATTGTTACCATTGAACACCAAAGGCACTGAATTTTGGGTAGGCCAAGTACAGAATGCCCTGAAATAGCTCAATAACGATAGTGCTATATTTTCACTTTTTCTATATTCTATATTTTTGAATATTTCCATTGGGTCTTCAATGATCAAAATCATCTAGGACTTCTTATATTGTCAACATCTCAAATATTTGTCTTTGTGGTCAAAGGGAACAATTTATGTTTAAAAGGAACAGGTAACGGCTTTATTCAATGCTGAAAAGAAAAGAAAGGAAACTTTGGCTGTGGAGCCAAACCCGTTACCTGTTCCCTTGTAGCCTTCGCATGGTGACGCAGCTACCCACTTGAACAATTTCTGTTTATGTTTATATACAGTATATTTCATGTAATATACTGTATATAAGCGCGATAAAGGTAAAATTTTCACAATACTCATTCCAAAACAATCATACAAAGTATTTATTTTCTTGTTTATTTGGTTATTGTTCATCGTTTAAAGTTAATACAGTATCTTGTTTTTTTCTTTCAGTATTCTGGCAGTGTGAAAGAAAATAAAGCAAATGTTGAAGTCATGAGGATAAAGGCCTTCGATAAAGATCTAGAATTTACAGAAAACTGGGAGGCAGTGTTTGACTTTGTGTCAGGAAACGAAGGGGGCTACTTCAGTTTTATAACTGACACTAAGACTAATGAAGGAATCGTAATGTTAAATAAGGTACTGTATAGTATGTACAGCACTGTATTATGATTTGTTATGCAATTGATACAGTGTACTGTAGTTGGTCACTTTTGAGTATTATTCCTTTACAGATGTACATTAAGACAATGCAGAGTTCATATTCTCCTTTTTATTTGACCCTTTTCCCTCCATATGTTAATGTTGTGTTTAGTTATGTTAGTGATGATACAGTAATAGCTGTTCAGTAGCAGAAGGATATTTAGTAGCTTCCGATAACTATTTTAATGAACAGCCACTGTGATGGGTATAAATCATGTAGAAATGAGTGGTTCAAGATATAATTGTAATGTACTTAGAATTAAACATTCTAGTATTGTATTTTTATTTTCTTATTTTCTTCTGGACTTTTAAGCCACTAGAAAACGAAGCTTTCCGTACCCTTGAGCTTGCAGTTGCCGTTAGAAATCGGGTGGCCTTTTATGATGGAGCAGAATTCAGTCCAAGAAGAAAAAACTATCCCGTTAAAATTCAAGTTAAACCTGAAGGTCCCCGGTTTATTCCTAACACACTGTTTGTCTCAGTTTACGAGGAGAGGAAAAAAGTGATCATCAACAGAGTAATTGCAAAATATCCAGCTTTTGATCGGCACACTCAGAAAATTATTGAAAAAGTCAGGTAATATTTTTTTTTTCTCCGATTACCAGACTTCTTTTTCAATAGTGTGAAATCAAAAGTGTTATACTAGCATTTCTATGTGAAAATAATCACAGGTTCTTGGCTTCAAATGTTAATAAAATGAAGGTATCCACTTTGCTGGATTTAACCTCTGCTTATGCCATCTCAGTAGGTTCTGCCTGATTTCTTGAGGTACGACCATGTTTAACTGAGCTTTATAACTATTCGCAATTTTGAAAGACTGACAGACCTATAGATATTGAGGAGCTGTATGAGTATATACAGAATATTTGCAATTATAGTTTCTGTGGAAGGGCTCATTGTGGAAATAGTTGTTCAGGCTTGCTTTGAAAAGTGTTAATTGTGTGCTTCAGCCTTTTGACATATCTTCGAAAGTAGTGAAATCTAACATTTGTGCAACTTACTTATAGTTACACTGACACATATGCACAATACGTAGGTTTCAGAGTCCTAATTACCATAGATTCTACTTCTGTAATTTAAATACACTGCATCTTAAGAAAAATGTATCCTACCCAGAATTAAACTTCCCCCTGTAAAACATGGATGCCCACAAGTGAACAATAACGAATTTTCTTATCCCAATATCACTAAAATGGGAGAGAATATGTTTGGCCTAAGGATTCGACAATGTAGAAAATCAGGATTTCCTAAAATAAGTAAGCACACAAACTCTCTTACAGTAATGCTCAGAGCACCTACAGAGTCTGGATCCAAAACAGATTAGAACAGGGATCTCTCCCAGACTCAAGCTTCGGAGGAAGAGGGGGATGATGGATGTTCCTGCTTTTCCTCTGTCCTCTTTCCTGCATTTAAGGCGTGAACCATTCCTGTGGAGACTAGCTTAATGGCCTCCCTAGGAAGGTCCCAGTCACTGTTGTTTATTCTTCAGTTTGGTGGTCCTAATGATTTACTGTCAGTTGCATTGTAATTAGAGTTGGAATTGCCAATGGCAGACAGGTGAAATGTCAAAAGCAGTCATTGTTCATATATCAAATGTTAAAGGCTAAACATTTATTTTAAATGACACACACCTGTCTGTTAATGTCAGTTCCACATTCAATTTCAACAGATTACAGAACCAGGTGATGTGATGGATATTGGAGAGATTTGGTATATTTTCTCAGGGTAAAAGCAGTAAACTGACATTTTTCCCAAGAGGTAACGACTGCATTCTGTCGGAAAGTTGACCACAGTAGGTCTCCCATACACAATGAACAGGTATCAGGCACACATTGCCGTACACTTTAAATTGACACAGACTTCTACCTAGTGTGACAATTTCACACTAGAAAACAACATGGATGAGAACAAATGAAAGAGAAGCAAAATGGGAGTACAGAAACCTTCAGGTAACTCAAAATTGTAATCCAGTAGCTAAAAGATAATTAACACTGTGTTATTAATTTCTAATGTAACTTTTCATTGCCACCTTTACAGTACCCCTATTAGTGTGACATGCCAAAGGACGTGGTACTAGTGAATGAATCATACCCGTCTCTATAACATTGCACAAAACACAATTGTTTTATTATATTAATGAGAATAAGATTCTCTATTTGGATATATCCTGTTTACACACAAACACATTACATCATTAATGTTATTACAGATATGCAAAGGCATTTGATCCTGACAACTGGCTGTCAATTGATGTAAAGACGGCAGAGATCAAACTGAACAAGCTGCCAGACCGGGAGTCCAGGTTCTTGGTTAATGGCACATACTACGCACGTGTGTTGGTCATAACTGAAAGTAAGTAAAAGAAAATCGATAGAAGACTGAAAGCAGTATTCTATTCATGTGATGTGCATATACAGTACATGTTTTTGGGGGGATTCTCACAATGGTAAAATTAAATGTGAATTTGTGGAGGAAAGTGGGGAAAAAAGTGTGAGTGCCAATTCTAAAAAAAAAACAACAGAGAGCAGCACTTTTTGTAATAGCATTGAACTGATTATTTCAAAGCAAAAATGAAACCAGTTGGATTCTGTCTTCACTCCTTTCAAAAATATTTAAACAACAAATCTCACTTCACCAGCTAGCTATTGAGCTGGATGGATTGAAGTGCCTCTTTTTGTAATCTTTCTTTTGTTTTAAACTATTTATCAGATTTCCCTGCCAAAACCGCCACTGGTACGATTGCTATCCAGGTGGAGGACCACAATGACCACTGCCCAGTTCTGACCAGTACTTCCCAGTTTCTGTGTACTGAGAGCAGAGCTGTGTTTGTCACAGCTGAGGATGGAGATATCGATCCCAATGGACCTCCCTTTGATTTCAAAATCATTCCTGAAGGTACCAAGGGCACGTGGAGAGCTGAAAAACTGAATGGTAAGGGTTTTCCCTGCAAACAAGTTTTGGCTGTGGTGTGGGAGTAGGAATGGGGTGATTAGAAAAGGAACTTTGCATCCCAGGTGTTGTAGGTTTGTGGTGTTGTCAGTGAGGGATTCACCATTGCACCAATGAGTACTGAATCTCTTCCCACTGGTGCTCAGATGTCCTGTGTGATTAAAGAGTTTGAGGCTTAGAAGAAGAGGCGGCCGCAAATCCAAAGACAACAGCTGGAGCTCGCCAACACCAACTGGCATCTGCAGGATACAAAGTGGTAAAAAACTAGCATTTGAACAACATCTGAATGAGAATTGGAACCATGTCTAATAGGAAAATAAACATTCTGTGGCATGTCAATGAGTGTTACGTTAGATGTAAAAAAGGTGAAGGTCCTGCTGAGAAAACACTCATGCCCCCAGTGAAATGTGGTGGGGTCTGTCCTGCTTCAGCATTGCTCTTCTATCTATAGAAACTTAAGAAAGGGGGAAGCATGAATTCAGGATATCTTGGCCAAACACTTGTTTCCCTCTGCTAAAAAAAACGAAGCTTAGCTGAAAATTCACATTCAGCAGGGCAACGATCCAAAGTATACATCCAAATCTAGAAGGAAGCCCTGACAAGTCCTGACTATAATTCTGTTCAGAATTAGCTAGAAATTCGAGAGAGCTTGAGCAACTCTGCCAAGAAGAATGGACAAGAAGCAATGCCTACGAGCAACGTTGGTACAGACTCGCCCAAAATCACTTGCTGCTGAAATTGCAGCCAAAGGTGCTTCATCAAAATGTTTAGCTCACCGGGCTGAGCACTCATGCACGGCACAGCATTGTAATATCTTTATTTTCTAATTTAATACTTACTACTGCCCACTGTTGAGCTCTTATCAAACTGAAGCTGTTCTTGGTTGCTTACTCTTGAAAAAACACTGTAACCCTGAAAATGTGCCTTGTTAGAACACCAACTACATTTCATCTTGATACTTCTGTTTACTAGAACAATTGATGACACTTGCATACGTCTAGTTTTCTTATTGTTTCTTTTTTTCATGTGTTTAACTCCTCACTGCAGATAATGGGGTTAAGTGACTGTGGGTGCATCTGCCATTGTCTATCTGAGACCTGAAACAACATTTAAGGAAGCCAATCCATACTTAAATCCTTTTGAATTTTCTTTTACATTCAAAATAAAGACAACAGCAATTGTATTATAAAGAAATTAAAGGTGACAAAATAATCAAAAATCAAATTATTTTCCTTGTAAATAGTGCATTATATATATTATTTTTCTCTTTAAGACACCACTGCAATCCTGCGAGCCCGTGATAACTTGTGGCCTGGTTCATATAAGGTTGCTGTGGAGGTGAAAGACCAACAAGGCTTCGCCTGTGCTGATAAGCAGGTTGTAAAGATAGATGTCTGCACCTGTAATGAACAGAAAACCTGTGAGGCCACAAGAAAATCAACAGGTGGTGGACTGGGATTTGCTGCCATGGGTCTGCTCATCTTGGGGTTCCTGATGCTGCTCTGTAAGTGAACAGTCCATCAGTGCTGTACTCTGTAAGGTCATCATCTTTGTCAAGATGATGGCACTGTAGGTGCATCCATCTGGGAAGAGGTTTGCCCACACTTTATCACGGGACCAGTAAGTGCTACATGATAACCCCAAAGGGAAGATGGATCTGTAGCTGATGTTCCCAAAGTCACTGTGGGGAGTTCCAGAGAAGGAAGGAGCTTGTCCCACAACACAAGGTTAGAAGAGAGGTCTAGGTTTGCCTCCAACCAAAATCACTGCAACATTCAATCTATTCGATTGGTTTCTCTTGTCTGGACCCCATGGGGGCAGATTCTCCTTGGTTATTAGTGAGTGTCCAGGTTAACTTGTTTCGGTTGTCCATTAATTTCATAAACAAAGTTAATGATGCAGTTTAAGTTTCATATAAAATGAGAAAGATGTTTGTGTCAGCAAGTGAAAAGGAAAAAAAAGCCCTGCATATTATTTATCAGTAAGTATCCTAATGATAACGCAAATTGACCAAAGTTTAATTTTCTCTGTGGGTACAATTCCTGTCTCCCAAAAATTGCACTAATAAAACAGTGCCTCTTCCTGCTTTTATTTATTTTCTCCATTGTAAGTGCATTCCAGAGGGTAGTGAGATAGTCATTCTCCTTTGTTGTGATATAGTACATGCTGCATCTGTACTGTAAGTGTGAAACTTTAAACATGCAGCTGAGCCCATTCTGATTATTATATCCTTTTCCTGCAACAAGAATGTAGCGCATAATATAAAATGAATAGTATACACAAATTGGATGGGATTTGTGTTGTATTAAATTTTGTTTGGGGGTCTGGACAAAGTTACATTCATTTTCTATATTAATGAAATCAAGTTCATTAAATTTGTTATAGTCATAAATAATATCTTTCCTGTTCTACTATTTGATTTCTAAAAAAAAGTTTCTAGCTTCTTATTATATATATATTATCGTGTTCTATAGAATTTCATTGATTGGCTTTGTCTTCTCAACAGTTATGGCCCTAAATCTGTTATTTTGCTCATGTGGAAGGCTTAAAGGGGGTGCAGATAATGAATTTGTTACTGAAGGGCAATTGATGCCATATAACACAGAAGAAAAGGGTGAAGACAAGGTAAGTGGTTTAATCTTGCTGCATCCCATTGAACATAGATGTTTACGCTCATGCAGTGTACAGTATGTGTATGAGTTAAGTCGTGTAAATCAGCCCTTAATTGTTGTATTGGGTGTGAAATATCAAAGGGCATCTCAATCTCTCGCAACCCACACAAAACCAAAAACAGCCATCTATTTTTGAACTGCCTTCTCTAGTACAGGCTTGTGGAGGGAGCCAAAGCCTATTCTGGCAAGCGACAGGCGCACCACTGGATACATCCTGAACAGAATGCCAGTCCATCACAGTTGCAAACACAGACAGGCACACACTCACACCAGAGCCAGTTTTCCCCAAAACCAAATAACCTACCAGCCTGTTTTTTGACTGTGGGAGGAAATTGGAGCACCTAGAGGAAACCTACACACATAGGAAGATCATACAACCTGTACAGCATGCCAGTTCTGAAAAAGATCCCGGGCTTCAGAGCTGCACATTGCTGCTTGAATTATATGTTTTTAAATATTACATGAATTCAGGGTCCTAATGCCCCAGTATAGTGGCGGGGACACTATACTGTAGTGGGCACCGTCTGTCGGATGAGACGTTTAACCAAGGTACCGACTCTCAGTGGTCATTAAAGATCCCCGGGCATTCCTCGAGAAGAGTAGGGAGTTATCCTGGTGTCCAGGCCATATTTCCCCCCTCGGCCTTTACTGTGGCCTCCAGATTGTCCCCATGTATGATTGGCTTGCACTTCCCCTGCGGTGGACTGGTGTCCTGCCCAGGGTGTACCCTGCCTTGTGCTCGCTGCTTGACGGCTAGACTCCGGCTCCCCACAACTCTGTACGGTATTAAGCGGTTTGGCAAGTGACATGACATGACATTAATTCAGAAATGATGTCTGTAAGACATAAGGATCATACATTTCTAACTATATTAAGAAAATATTTTTGTGCAAAGTCCCTATTGCTTCACCTGATGGAACAAGGGTCACAATCAAGCTAAGCTGATCACCATCTGCCATATTCAGATTGGTGCTTGTGAAAAGAAAATAACTGATTACATTATTAAAAAAAGAATACTGGCAATCTAACCAAACGAAGGAAGAATAAAGTCCATTTTTAAATTCTGAGTGAGTGAATATGTTTTTTACACAGGAGGTTCCATGTCTGAAAGCACCTCTGGGACCTGTCCTTGGAATACTGCGTGTAAAGACAGGAGAGGGTGCTGGTCTACACAGGCAGGGGGAAATTAAGAAAACATTCAGAGACCTGGCTAAAAGATTTGAAGGGTCTAGGACTGATAACATCCACGAAGAAGCTCTTAGCAAAGAAGTTCTGAAAACATCGCAAAGGTCTTATTCAAGATTCGAAGATGTCTGTGTTGACACAGCACTCTCTGAAGTGTTTTTGAAGGCTTACTATTCACAGGTAATTAAATAAATCGCTGATAATCACTGTTATCAGCACTGTATATGTGGCCGTTTAATGTTTGTGTAAATGTGTGTCTTTATCATGTATCCTTTATTTTGAAAAAAGTGTCATTAGACTCCAGGATGCAACACATTGACGTTTGCCATCTTTCTTCTAATGTTATCCTTGTGTCTCAAGTATTCCCGCTCTGTGGTAAGCTGTTTGTACCATCATACAGTATGTAAACTGTACTATTTGTGCCATAAGCAAATTTCAGTTACAGACTTTTTAGGGTCAGTGGATGTGTGTCACCATGAGCCTCAAGGAAAAAGCAGCTCTGAATAATGGATTGTTTATAGAGGGGTGACCATTAAACACTAAGCTAAAGGAAAACACAAGTTTAAACAACTTAACCAACTGCTGGAAAGACAAATTTATACAAATAAAAATGCCCTCAGTTGTTACATAAAGCTGTCAAATGGTATACAGTACGTGATGGTGATTTTCGATCTCACCTTTAGGTATTAGTCAAGGTTTCTGTGGAAAATTCCCTTTGTGCAGCCTGTATGATGCAATAAAAACATGGAAAACCTAAAACTGTGTTCCAACCTACAGCCCTTTACTGTTTTCCAAAATCCAAAATGAATTATATTTTAAAGAAAAAAAATCTTCCAATTAACAACAATAGATTAATTTAATCTTAAATTAGAAAAAGTGCTTCATTATAGTCTTTACTTGCATTGTAGAATCCTCTTGTTTTTGCTGTACTTTTATGAAAGTATTACACTTTATTGGCCATATGTAATTTCTCGTATTAGGAATTTGTCTTTTCATATACCCCAACTTGCGCTCCTTGAAACACAGACAGGGAGAGAAGCTTGGGGTCAGAGCTCAGGGTCAGCCATTTATACGGCACCCCTGAAGCAGTTGGGGTTAAGGGCCTTGCTCAGGGGCCCAACAGAGTAGGATTCCTCTGCTGGCCACTGGATTCGAACCAGCAACCTTCCAGCCACAGGGCGCAGATCCTTGGCCACAGAGTCACCGCACAAAAACATCTCAATAGAATCTATGATAACAAGTATTAAAACTGCTTTTGAAAACAAAACAATGAAATGCAAATCAGCAATTGCAGAAATGATTGCTTGTATATGGGTGGGTGTGTTCAAGGGTGGCAATGTGGAGATAGGATTATATGAAGCCTTCATAATTTATATATGAAATTATATGAAATTAATTAGTGAGATAAATAAAGCATGTTTTGTTATTGTCTGATCCCTGTACTTAGATCTAGGTGTAGGGCAGGAGGACACCAGAGCTGCTCTTGACAGGCAAAGTAATTTGGTGAGTGCTTTGTTTGAATATTTGCATTTGCACAGTTACTGTGCAGTGCTCTGGTGGGCACGTCCAAGGAGAATGATTTTGGCCAGCGAATACTTTCTGTCAGTGTGTCTGTAAAAAGGAAACTGGTCCAGTTCACGTCAGCAACTTTTATGTGTCGTCTGTCATGTCTAGACAACAGTAGCAAGCCCAGTTGTCTTCCTCAGGGGAGTTTGTGTGTCTCTAATGTGAACCACAAAGGAGGCAATGACAACAGATGCTGCTGGTATGTTGGTACCCATGTGACCAAGGCTCCAGGGATGTCTGATCTTCTAAAGTTGAAAAGAATCCCGTGTACACATACAGTACGGTAACTGGCTCCTCAGCTGATTCCAAGGAAACGTGACTTGGGCTGGGCTGCTTCTATATACAGTATTGTGAACAGATAATTAAAATATAATAACTTATCTAGTACTTGTCTTCTTTTTCGTTATAGAAGTCAAAGTATGCTGCAGAGAAAGCCCTGACAGTAACAGATGGTGTGCTGGTTTTTGACTTTGAAGGACGAGAATCCCCTGTGGGTTCAGTGGGATGCTGCAGTTTCATTGAAGGAGACGACGATGATTTGGAGTTCCTGAATGACCTGGGACCCACGTTTAAGACCCTTGCTGAGATCTGCATGGGTGAAGAAAAGAAATCAGAACTTGTGGTCCCTCCTGCCATGCCTACTGTCCAGGATGTGGCTGTAACTCGCACAGAGATCAAGAGAGAAAACACTGTGACAACTGATGCTGTGAGACCTCAGCCCAGCCCAGTTCCTCAGCCCCAGATCCAGAAAAACATCGTCACTGAGCAGTATTCTTCCACCACTCTCCCAGCCATGCACCTCAGAGAAAATGTAGTAGTTCCTAGTCCTGCATATGTCATCCTACAGCCTGTGTATTACACAACCACCTCAGTGGTTCAACCCACTCGGTACATTGTGGAGCCGCAGGTCCACAACACCGTGCTCTTCTCAGAAAGGCCAGCTGCTCCTAATGTGCAGGGTGTGCTGCTGGTGAAAGAAGGCCCAGGCTCTGAGAAGGTCCTGTTTCAAGAGAACAGAGTGGTGTCTGGCTCTGCTGTGCAGGGCGGAGTGCTGGGTTACCTCCATGGCAATGGCTCTCAGAATGTGGTGTTAGTGGAGACGAAGGCAGGGTCAGGGCAGTTTGTGCAGGAAGGGATTGCTGGGCTTAATCAAGGAGCCATGCACAGGGTTGGACTGCCAGGCTCACAGAATGTGGTGTTAGTGGAGAGGAAGGCTGGATCTGGGCAGGTCAGAGGTGAAATATCTGGAAAACAGAGTGTGATGTTTACAGAAAAAGTGGTATAATCTAGCTCGGTTTCACATGGTGAAATGATGAATGCAGGTTCCTTTTACATGAGTGATCTGCATGGCTCTCAAAAAGTAATTATGAAAGAGGAAATCAAAGTGTCTCTCATCAAAGTGCAGAGTCTTAACTCACCAGTTCTGGTTAAAAGAGCCATGCCACGATTGTAATTGAGATTTGATAGTTATTTTTTCCTTTGTAATCATGAATTGTACATTGATTAAAAAAAAGCTGAAACACATTGGTTCATGTTATTTTCATGTTACAAAAAGGTAGTTCAATTCACTTCAAATGAGCTCCTATCTACAAATGCATAATCATAACAATAGCTTAACATTTTAGTGCAGTTCCATACATATTTAGTACTGCATGTGCAAATTAGTCTATAAATGAAAGTAAAACTGTTAAATATTGCTTTTGGATTTCAGGAGTTACAGTGACTAGGAGTTTAATCTATTACATTTTAAAAATATTATTCTTCTCTGGCTTTTAACTTGTAGTTACTTTCTAAGTGCATGCTTTGTATTATGCCTGTTTCTTTGAAATGTATCTGCTTTGTACACCACTCAGTAATTTGAATATAAAGGAAGCTATTTAAATATTTTAACTATTTCATGTTCCATTACCTAGTATTCACATGAAGTAATACAATAAAAGTTGGGTATTTACTGACTACAAGGTATTCAATGTCTATGTATTTCAAAGATTTTTTGGACAACATTAATTGGGCACATAATTAATTAATTAATTAATTAATTGGGCACAGTTAATGATACCGTATTTACAACAAAAATATATTTTATTATTTCATTTAATTTTTAAAAGTCTTTTTGATCATGGATAAACTGTCACATTAGCCTGGTAAAAGTATGAATGTTTTATTGTAATAACATTCTTCAATCATTATAAGCATTGTACTTGTTAATGAGACTGTTCAAATACAGTGTAGCTGTTGTAAATTTTGACTGTGTGATTTTGCTTTGCTTAATATAAATATTTGTTTCTCAACAAAACAACTATAATTTTGATTTTTACATTTTATTTTCAGTCAATCTTTTTATTTAAATAAAAATAAAGATAAAGAGATGTTTTTGATTTGAATTTCAGTAGATGGTGGCACAGTAGTTAGCATTGCTGCTTTGCAGCACTGTGGTCCTGGGTTCAATTCCTTACCTGTGGTCCTTGTGTAAGCTCTCTCTGTGTCTGGTGATCTGATTTCCTCCCACAGTCTAGAAACTGGTACTGATACAAGTAAGTTAATTGGCTTCTGGGAAAAGTGGTGCTTGGTGTGAGTGCACATGTGTGTCTGTGTGTCTGTGTGTGTCCTGCAATGGACTGGCATCCCACCCAGGGGGTACCCCACCTTGTGCCTGTTGCTTGCTGGGATAGACTTTGGCTCCCCTGCAACCCTGAATTGAAAAAAAACATGGTACAAAGATGGATAGATAGATTTCAGTAGATGTTTTCTTAATACCAACATTTATTCATAACAACATTTTTTCATACTGAAGGAAATGGTATCATCGTTGATTAACAATAATTCCTTGTCAGAGTATTGAACTGCACCTCCCACCACAATATAATGTGCAGCAGGCATTTGGCAGCCCACAGCAGACCAGGTTAAAATCACCGATCATGTAAAGGCGGAATTTTAGGCAGGCAAGACTGTGCAGATCCTGAGTGGAATTTAGCCAGGACACTGGGGAAAATTCCTCGGCTCTGCACAAAGAGCGCCACGGGATATCTAATGCCTTTGTTATGAATTTACGGAGTTCCAATTCGGTCTCAAGTGACCACACCACCTTTTACTGCTTTTTGGCACAACAGGATTACTCGGAGGCTATGTTCCCAAACTCCGAGTAAAATGTCCACAGTAACTTGTAAAACCTCAAATTTACACCACAGTAGACTAAATGTTCAGGTATGTGCAGCTCCATATTGCCATCATTTTATGGAATTCAGCAAGGGGCAACAAAACTTCCAGGGACATGTGGCAGCCTTACTACATTGTAAACAAGCAGGCTTGTGAATACATCTCTTTTAACCCAATAGAAATATTGCTCTCGACTACGAGACGGTTCTGCAGACAAATATTACACACTTGTTAACTCTGCATGCAAATCACATTGGAACATTTCTACAGTGAAATGTCTGCTGCACAACTTGTACTTATTTGCTTGTACATCACATTACATTAGCGATTAGAGTGACTAGTGAGCAGGAAGGGCAGGTTTCAGGCACAAGTCTTGCAAACTCTCGCTCTGATGACTTATCCAATCTTTAATGCTTTTGTAGCATAGTTGTTTTAATATAAAGAGTAGTCTGCAACATATTAATACATTTTTTATTGGAGTTGCAAGCAATACTAGCTTTGACTGAGCTAGATTAACAATCATGCTGTGTTTTTAGTACTCCATGTGATCCACTGTCTCTGCTTATGCCCAGGTTGATCCGTAGTTTTCAAGCTATGGATCTTTCATTGCTATAAAAAAAATCACTAAACAGATCTAAGAAAAGTTATTACTAGACCTGTGTCCATTGATTTTCTGAATTCTTCTATGGACTTTAGGCTTTTCAATCATGCAATTTATGTTTGCTAGGCTAAATAATTACGTTTTTATTTATTACTTAATTGCCTACATTTGCAACGTTTATCTGACTTCTGCTCATCTAGTAGTGTAACTAACTAAGGAGTTACTTTATTCATTTAGTTCTTCGGGAATTCTGACTCGTTGAGCATGTCAGTAATTCACAGAAAATAACAGTGTGCACAAACAGTGAATTTAATTATTTTTTGGTTGATTTTTATGACTCCTTAACCAGGGTTGGATTCCAGTCCCAGACTCCTTCTACTGCATTTGGAGTTCAAAATCTGACTGGTGCTGTGGGTTTCCTCCCTCAGTCTAAAGCCATACTGACAAGGTTAGAAAACCTTTCTAAACTGACTAATGACCTCCGATGGATTGGTGTACACCACTACCTTTCCGGGTATAATTCTGCCTTTTAAGAACACATTTGGATACATCAGTAAGCCTGCACTATGATAATCAAGCCTACAGAAACAAACACATGCATGAGCATATTTAGCAATACACTCGGAGAGACAGGAACAGATACAAGCAATGTTGCAGGGATAAAAAAGGACACATTTACAACATCGCAAACATGAGCTTCTGATGCAAAATTCAGATCAAAGATGACATCAATATTCCTGACCTGTGTACTTGGATGGATTCCAGCACTGTCATTCATCAAACAAGGAGAGCCAATCAGCATAACTCAGTCTTGTCAGAACTCAGCAGCATAGAAATGAAATGGAGACGACACTTTTCTGATGTCTTTAATTCACTTTTTCTAACTGCTACAGTATGTTGGAAATTATTTTAAGGTGTCACACATATTCAAAGTTGCAAATGAAATCTGATGAGCACCAGCCACTGGGAGGCAGCAGTCTGCATTTATACAGTATTTAAAAAAGCGGTTTTGGTCTGTTCCTTCACTCTATAGTTCCATTGTCACTGTTGGATGCTTGAAGTCTAAGCTCACAGTTATAAGAAAAAGGCTTTCTTATAGTATGGTTAATTTATATTCAGCTTGTTTAGCTTTAATTCAAACTGGTGCTTTGCTACAGTGTCCTGCAGTGAGATCTAATGCAAAAGAAGGCAATCCCAGAATCAACTAGACAGGTGCTTGAGGAGACCTGGACTGATCAGCCTACATCTGGCTGGGTGAATCTAGTGATGGCATCGCTAATGCTGGCTGATGTCCTAAACGGTCAAAACCCTAGTTCACCCATGCAATGGGTAGGTCTCGTTTAAGACCAGAGGCAGATGATCAGGAAAGAAAGGAAACACCTTGCTGTACCAGAGGAGTTCCGGCTACACAAGCCTTAGACTATGACAACACAATGCAAATTCAAAGACAAACAATGGAACAATAACACATGTTGACAATATCCAGTTTCTAGAGGTATTTAGTACATTTCCTGTATGGCATTGTGAAATCTCTGTTAATAAAAATCAGCGTTTGCCTTGCTCATGGCTACAATTTCTTATTTTTTGAATGTGTTTGAATCTAGATTAGTACCAATAAAGGGCAATGCAGTGCCCAAAGGTTTGATTATAATTTTAGAATTAGAGATCCAGAATGTATGTACCATATATATAAAGTATATACCGGTACTGGTAGAAAGTATATAACAGTATGTACTGTATGTGTAAAAAGAATTAGATAAAAAACAAATCCAAACAGAACAAAGTGACAATAATGAAGTACCTTTCGCTAGTATGAGTTGTGTCCAGTAGGAAGAAATTGTTTTCTCTCAGTCACAGAAACCAAAGCAAAGCAGATGCAGTAAGACAAACAACCCTCTCTAACCAATTCAATCATTTGCTTTGATCGGGTCCAGGACAGAAAATGACCAAAGAGCAGTCAGCAGAAAATCTCAGTAACCCTCACATAAGATGTTTGAAGATTAAGCATCAGTCTGGACCTAGTGGTCTATACATAGAAGATCTGGTACCTTCTGCACAAAAGGTAAGCTAGATATTGGTTGACATTTATTTAAAATTCCTTAGTTAAATGTTTACGTTTTAACAGAGGAATAATAAGTGTTAGTTGAAGAGCCAAGAAAACAATTCCACACATTACTGATTTAGTGATAATATGCTGACATTTGGAGAGAGAATTGCAAAATGTAGACAAAACAGGACAGCAGAAATAGGATAGAAGTTACACATGTAATATTTTATTTCAATGAAGATTTTAGAAAGCTGCTGGCGAGACACTACATGAAACACGACAGATGAAGGGAATTGAATGCTGTTAGAAAGATATAAATTTTAGGGTGAAATTAATAGTAGAGTTATTCACTGAATTTAAGAGATGATGATTGTGAATAAAAGGGATCCAGGATTACGTTCTCTACTAAAATGCTCTGACCTCAAGACTGTCAGTTCATTATGATAGGACTGTTGTTTGAATATCATTTCAAACTAAAGCATGTACTGTACTATGTACAGACCCCATTTTAGGTTAACAGAAACAGTATGTGGTGAAATTATTTCAATAATGGCAGGACAGAAGCTCAAAATAAGCATCTAGTCGTGAGTCTATGCATCTCTTTTAGTAATGGTAGCAAAGGCACAATTACAGAAGGCAGAGATAAAGCTTCATGTCACTGCAGATCAATATATTGACATATATCACTATAAGAGTAATACAGATTCTTTAACTGCTGCTAGTTAAAGATTTGGGGCAGACAGACTACAAAGAAAGAAACACCAAAAAAGAACAGAATTTCTGGCTTCATCAAAGAACGACATGGAGCACATCCTGAAAATAGGATATAAGCTTTAGCATTCTGCTGTTCTACATTTATGTAATACTGGTGCTTAACAGATCTGGACTGACCTTACAGTTTTCATTATTTGAAAAATGTGTATTCAAAGGCATGTTCAGAAAGACAAAGGATTATCACTAGGGGATTAACTAAAGCCAAATCTCCTTTTTATAAGTTTCTTACAAAGCACTCTTGCATAGGTTACTTATTCGCCTGTTATTTACTGAGTCAATAATCAGTGTCAGCAGGTTTCTAATCACATGGTCAGTGGAAAATGCAGACAAATATAGTGGAACATGGTATAAAAATCCACAAGGCAGTCCCAGCATTCCAGAGGAAGGATCTTGCGCCGACATCGGAATGGCCCGCACTGTCATCTTTATCTTCCTGACCGCAGTGATCTTTCTTTGCGATGCAGCACCAGTGGTAAGTTCACTTTGCGATGGTAATGGTTTCACTTTATGGGGTTTTCAATTAGGACTAAATATTGAAAATGTATCTAGAACCATTAGTAATGCAAGACTATACATTTCTATTGAGTGGAGAGCTGTGTCAGTGCGTTGGCAAAGCACCAAGTAAGCTTCTATAAGCAAGACAGTGAAGGTGAGAAGAACATTCATGATTTCAATTCAAAATACTCATTTTAGCTTTTTTAAAATATCATTGAACAATATTAAAAACTGTATTTATTTAATCTTATAAACAACACTTCAGAACTAAAACCTAAGCACCTCATGTTTTATTTAAAATAATACCATGTGGGCTCATTTAAATGTAATGAGAAATCGCTTCAGGTTTAGTCCAATGAAACTTGGGAGCAAGGTATTTAGGTGACAACAGTAACTAGGCTAAACATGAAAAAGTTTTACATATTGTACATAAAGTCCTTTGCAATATGTTAAAAAGCTAAATGCAACATTACAACACAAACTTAAAAAGCAGCCTTTCCCAAAGGAAATGCAAACAAAAAACTGCAAAGATGCATAAATAATATATAGTTTTTGTCATAATTTTTTTCTTTGTCATGCGGTAGAGTCAGAGCACTGCTTTACTGTGCTTGGAATCTATGGGAGCTCAATATCATGTATTTTCCCATGGAATTTGTGGGCTATGATGGAGCAGTTAGACACTGAACCTTTGGAATGGTCTGTGAGACAAGTTGTGTGTTGCAATTCATGAGAATCCAAATGTTTTCAAATATATTTTTCTGATACATGGTGTTATTTAGGCTGCCTATGTGCATCTTTTCTAGTGCCCCCTTCCTCAAACTTTATCATTGTAGCTGCCTCCCTGGCTCATTCCTCATAAGTGAGAGGTGTTGTGACAGCGCTGATCTTTAGCCAGCATTGTCAACGCCAAAGTATTAAGTATATTATTCCTTTATATTTGTTGTTTGTTTTCGACACTATCAAAATTTGACCGAACTTTGTGAAACCTTTAATTTTGCTTCAGATTACCTGAAAATAGGATACTACTTCATCTAATTCATTTTTTCTACAACTTTCCGTGGCTGCATAGATGTACAATGTTGCAGAATTTAAATTTTTCTGTTACAGTCACCACAGTACCACTAAAGAGCACATACAGGAACATTTTCTAATTCAAGAGAAACAAAAGAAAAGTTTTTCAAATCTTAAGAATAGAAATGTACATTTAAACTCACTTTTAATTGTCTTATCTCTAATTTTACATTTTTTCAGTCCAAAGGCTGTTCTTGATTTGCACGGAATTACGTCATGTATGATTTATCACAATTGAAGAATTTTGAAAATAAAGCTCACAAGAAAGTCTAATGAAAATGAAAAAGACGTGAATATTATTATATATGCATAGATTTGTGTTAGAAATTGTACAGTTATTACAATAGACTGGGCACCGCAGTATAGGGAGCGTTCTAGAGGTTCTGTTCTTCACTGAGACATTTATCAGGAATCTACACAGTGCCTTGAAATGTTGGGGTTAAGTTATAACCAGCAGCTGTCTGTAGAAAGAAGGCACTTAGCTAGTAGGCAATTTAGATGCAGCACATCAGTGAGGAGATGGAAAGATATTTCTTTGGCATTTTCAGTGATCAGCCTTTGTTATGCTACTAAGTTTTCATTCCCTCTGGAAGCCTAGGCCTCTTCAAGGTCGCCTTCCAGGCTCAGCCGAGCAGAAATCTCCCTACATGCCTTCCCTGGTTTCTTCTATCAACTACACATCACTTCCTAAACACTCAAGAGTTATTCTGACATTCCTCACTTTCACTTTAGGTACAGGTAGCACTTAATACTATTCATTATTCATTACAGAACGGCACAGTGGTGCAGAGGTTAGTGATGTAGCATCTCAGTACTGGGGCCTAACTATTGTGCCACCGTGTCACCCACCCTGGTAGTAATATATGGGACTGAAATGCATAATCTATTGGTTGTGTCAGTCTTCAGTAGGACTGGGATCTTTGGATTGGTCTCTGGTCAGAAGATGATGAATACTATATAATGTATTGTGATAAGTTTAACATCAACAGCTTATCGGGTACATACATGATGTTGTTCACATGTTGTCAAAGAGTGAACAGATGGGTTTGTGAATTAAATAGCATTCTGCTTTTGAAAAACCATATACTGAGCTCGAGTCATACAAGTTCCTAAAAATGCCAAGTGCTTAGTGTTTGGTTTTTGAGTAGAGTTAAAATTAATTAAAAATCTGCATGAGTAACGATCATCTCCTAGGGGCTATTGGCATGACTGGAATGCAATCTGTCTGTGCGAGAAGTTGTTCCGGGAGTATGTGATTCCACAGTTAGCAGACTAGCACTGAGAAGCCATTATCAGGTCTCCATCATGAGATGCAGGACATTTTCGCTAGAAATCAGAGAGTCTCCACACTGACCCACAACCATCATATCTGGCTGATCCGTGTATGTAAACACTTTCAGACTTTAACAAAACCAGAAATTCCAGGAGGAAACAATCTGCACGACAGCACCGCTGCTTGCCGTCTTCAAGGAAACAATCTGCATGCTCCAAGACTGTCCTGGGTTATTAAAGGACAAAATCTCCCGTCGTCTGTGGGCCACCGTGGATCTGAGGAGTTGACGGAGAGTGGTGGAGTGTTTTTATCCCCACTGCCCTTGACAAGGCCTGACAGAAGATAGCGTTGAGAGAGGTCATGGTGTTATCCTGACGTTTGCGTTGTTCTGCTATTACTGTCCAAGCCACGGGTGGAGGAAAGGAATCTGTTTCTGGTGACTGAGAGCAATCTTACTGCTCAGAGATGCATTGACAAAGTCCTTGAGCCGTCAGCCAGCTGGGCAGTGCGCGGAAGCACAGAGCTGGCATTTGAATGATGTGACTTCAGGAAAAGAGCAACAAGGTGTGGTAGCCAGCTTCAGTTCCTACCAGCCCAGCTGATTCCAGTGGGAAATCTGTGAGACCCACTTGAAAAACCCATCAACAGGAGACAACCACAACCAGCCAGCCTGTCAGGATCTGCCCTGAACGAGTGTGGTCTTGAAGACGATCTGCTCTATGCATCAATACTGCTAGGACAGTGTTAATGCTCAGGGTGGTCACATCAACTATGTAATGTGTAATCATGATCTTCTGATCTTTAGTTTTGTTAATGTTTACTGTGATTTTGATAGCTGTTTACAATATTTCAATAAATCTGTTAGACATGACTATTGGGAGATATTTCTTTTGTATTCTAGGACCAGGGTGACCACAGTGCCAACGACAAGTGTCCACTAATGGTTAAAATTCTTGATGCAGTCAGAGGAATGCCAGCTGCCACAGTAACGCTAAAAGTCTCCAGGCAAGCAGAGGACAAGACCTGGAAGGAGGTTGCTACTGGGTAAGTTGTGTATAACAACAACACATCAAACCAAAGTTTTTAATGAGCTCATTTTGTTCTCAGTGCATTGTGCAATGTACCATGTCGCTACCTGGCTGCTAAGCAAATTTCCCATCTGGGACAATACAGTAAGGTTAAGTAAAAAGACATAGCTAATTGATATAGAAAGTGCTTAGTCCCAGATCTCTAAAAAATGTCATTATATTTAGTGTGAAAAGCATGTCAACTTCAAGTCACGATCCAGCTCTCTTTACATGCAGAGTTACAGATGCAAAGGGAGAGGTCCATGACTTAATCGGAGAAGCGGACTTTTCTGCTGGAGTTTACAAGGTGGAGTTTGACACCAAATCCTACTGGAAAGCTGAAGGGCGGATCCCTTTCCACGAGGTGGCAGATGTAAGTGACATGTAACAGATTAGACTGAACAATCATACCCACTTCCACCAGCTCACTTCCTAATCAAACGTCGAAAACACGGGGAAGCTCTGTTATACCCAGGGGATGTCGGAGTAGGTGACAAGCTATCCAGCCTCATATTCTGAGGCTTATTCTTGCCTCGTTCGCTGTCTGCCCCTGATTCGCCCACACACCTGACAGAGACCCTACAGCCAAAGCACAGCATACAGCGTCTGTGTTTATAGCTGATGCTCGGTTGCCAAGATCATGCTGTTGGTTAACAGTGATAGATGACAGAGAAGAAAATATTGGTCAATGTTCCAAAAACAGAAAGTCTCAGAATATAGTCCCAGTTCAACTCTGAACTTTCAATATTCCCATTTTTCAATTTCTGTGTGTCGCCACGTCTGGCATACCAGTTTCACAGAACGTGTCACTTTCTCACACAGAAAAGAAACTTGTGGATGCCAATCATTTTCTAGGGGAACGCCCTTTAGTAATATTATCTTAGCATAACGATTATTGAAACATGCACACAAGTTTGAAAACCAGGAATTTCAGAAACACAACATTATCAGAATGCTGTGCGTGTATGGTTCTCCGGCTGTTACTCGAAGGTGTGAGGACGTTTATGCACGACCACTAGAGAAAAGGCAGAATATTCAATTTTCCACACTTGGGACATGCCCACAAGAAGATTTGTATTTGTGTTTGAATTTTTAGTGGGGTACGTGATTATTGATGCACTTACTTCGCCCGTTCCTTTGCCCTGCTGAAATATCCCGGGTTGACCCTTAACGAGAAAGTTAAAAAAGAGACTGTGACCAGTACAGTAAGTTCTGTGGAACATGGAGAGGACTGACTGTACAAAGCCGTGGCAAATCCACTGCTAAAGACATCAGAGAGGAGGCCCTAATGTGATATTTTCACAAGACACAAACGCAGGCAAACAGCAAAATATCTAGCATATTTCTGAAGTTGTTTTTTAAATATTAATGTGAATATTCTTAGCAGTTCCAGCCATTTGCTATCTTCTGCCTCGGATTTTACACATACTGCACACAGGTTTCATTTGGGCTTGGGTCCACCATCACATTTATGCGTCTGCAGCTGAGGAAAGGGTCGCCACAGGGACTAAATCCTTAAGAGCAAGTCCAGACACAGAAGAGCAGGTTAACACATGACCATCCAAAATGTTGTGGGCAGTGTCCACAAGTACCCCGTTCAAGCCATCTCTGCCGCTGACAAAAGGCCCCGATATCCAAGATCTGACCATCCCCAAACCGAAGCCCGATCACTGCAGAATAGTCTGCGCGATGAAGTGCAGGTGCCTCTTTGGCTTGGAAACCTCTGAGGGGTTTGCCTGCGACCGTGGATTAAAAATGACAGCTGACTTAGCCTATCCTCGACTTGCTACACAATCAGCGACTCCTGCAACTTCCTGGAAATCCTGTAGTTGTCACTGAGACCTGCAGAATTCCTCCTGTCAGCGCTACCCCACCCGCAATTGTAGGCGACACTCTGCGAGTACAAAAAACATTGGAGGACTCCCAACAACGTTCACTGGGCTGATTTGCCCGTTACCATGCCAGTATAAGAGCCAGGGCCAGAAGCAAAGCTGACTTCGACGAGTAGCGTTTCTCACACGCAAACATTTGCCACACCCTTGACGTGCCTGTGGACATTATGCCTGTATGTTCTGTTTTCAGGTGGTGTTTGAAGCCAATACTGATGGTCACCGCCACTACACTCTCGCTCTTCTCCTGAGCCCCTTCTCTTATACAACTACTGCTGTCGTCACTAAGGCACACGAATAAAACTGCTTCTTCCGCATGAACTCATGTCAACGCTTAAAAGAACCACACCATCATATCACAGATTGTCCTATACAGGAAGGTGTGAAGGTGCCACTTTTTTTTCAGCATTTATTAACATAAGAAAAACAATCATACACATATGTATTCCCCCTCCACCCCCACATATACCAATAGAGAGGTGATGATGACCTTTGCTGGAAACACCAGCAAAAAAAAATAAATCAGCCAGCTGATACAATGGAATAGAATTTTCATTGCTTTGCTATCATTTATGCATTTATTTTCATAAAAGACATTAATGATAAAAATATACAAATATAATATAAACAAATAAGATGAATAGTCCACAGGGAAATTTATTTGCAGAGGTGTTACTCCACTGTTTCAAAGCAAGCCATTACAAAGTGTAATTATGCAGTTTCAAAAAGGTAAACCTTCACAGGAACAGAGCAGCGAGACATTTAAACTGGCCTAAAGACAGATATCCCTCTTTCACATACAGATATGTCAGGTTTATGCTTGATTGTACTGTTTAAATGACAGTTACACATGACCAATTTAACAACACCCAAAAGGCCATTATGTTGCTTGAAAGCAAATTTAAAATGTCCATAAAACAGAAGTTCATTTGCCCCTATAAAAATAGTTAAAAATGCCTGCTGGCATTTTATTGCAGAATACATTGCATCTCTGTTTCCAATGTTTTAATATGTTTTTAAAAAAAGGGCCAGTCCAACCGTGCAATGGGAATTGAGATCATCAACGAAACAGAGCACAAATACAATGCACGGAAAAAAAGGTCAATTACATCACAACAAATGAACATTTTCTGCCAGATTTACAAAGAACTTGCTACAATGGCTGCTTATATTATTCCGGCCAAAATATGTATGGTCTCCAAGAGGATTTCAAGCCAAGTGCTGCATGAAATATTCGAAGTTGAGAGTATTTACTTTTTTAAGGGTGTGAAACTGAGATTACAATGGCCATCAGTTGAAAACTCTTTAATCCTAACTGCATATAACCTCAGTAAGCAAATTAAAGACTAAAGATGTAAACACTGGAGATTGTACAGTGCACATTGTCAAAAGGCTTCACTATGGCAGAATGAAACAGCTCAGTTTTACTGCAAATGTGTTTCCCATGAACCCTGGAACACCATTTTCTCTCTTCTTGACACAACTTTGAAATACTCAGAACTGTAAGAGCAGGGCTCCATTAAAACAAATCTAAAAAAAAAAAATGTGTGCACTCGAATTTCAATATAGAACAATCCAAGCCATAGATCACAGCCAAGTATGTAAAAATAGATATATTTTTAACAGTACAGTAGGAAATAAAACACCAAATAAACCCCGCAAGGCACAGATACATGAATACTGCAAAATTTTATACTCTATATTACAAAGGACCTTGAACGGTGAATATAAGATTTCTGTAAATAGGGATAATTAAGCACAAATTGCGTGGTTATGTTAAGAGCTTGGGGTATATACAAGTATGTTAAAATTGTTATGCCAATCAGGAATCATAACTAACCTCTATACCTTAGTTATGTTATGAGCAAGTAAACTCCAGGAGCTATGCAATGCTGCAAACGTTTGTTTAATTGAATTTCTAAAGATCAGTTTGCTCCAAATGTGTTTTTGGTTCTGCACTTGCATGGTTTCCAGAATACAATATCGAACTCAATCAACACTTGATGTTTCAAAACGTACTGTTGGAAGATATCCAATACTTTAGAATACCTGGTTCAGCAGGTGTTTAAAGTTATTCCCTTATTGAACCTAAACTAACATTTCAGTCTACTTTGTTCTTAACAGATCATTTACAAGCAACTACAGAGTTTCTCAGAGAATACTGTATGAACCACAGCAGAAACTGCTAGAAATGCAATCAAACTGCTTAGATCTTGCTCCTTTCTTTGTAACATGCAGAAAACCCTCACTTTTGAGCTAATGAGAACCACTTGGATATTTTCTATGTATCAATTGCATGCTCCTTCAGCTTTGAAACAAATTGTTTATAAATAAATTAAGAAAAAAAAATTACTTTGGCTCAGCTGCCTGCCTAGAATGTCATTCTCCCAATATCTACCTCACTGATACAGGCATTGACATTACTGGTTTGGTACACTTTGTCCACGTAATATTATGTTAGGGCACTGTGCAAATGCGGTTCTGCTAGAAATTTCAAAAAGCACCAACTGATTAATAAAGAGCGTTAATTATTTATGAAAACTAAATAGCAAAAAATGATCAATTTTTAAAACCTGAAAACAAAAAGCTGCAATAAATACAAAAATAAAACCATTTACACTTTTTTTTTTGCCATTGCGAGTAGTGCTCAAAACCTTAATATTATAAAGTTCTCACAGCCCAGAATTATTCTACGTGCCATTCAAGGACAGACTGAGTGTCCTCTCATTCTGGCTCATCTTAAAAGTCTAACAGCTTAAAGCAGAAATGTAGACTCAAGTCATACTCAAATTTACAATCCAACCTGTGAAGTTTTTTTGTAAGAAACATTCTGGCATATAGCAGCGCTGGAACAATAATGCTAAGGACACTGGTCCTCCAGCACTCTGTGACTAACCACCATGCTTTCATTGTACAAGTCATCCTACACTTACTTTACACAGTGCACTTCAAAAACAGATTGAAATCAGTATATGCAACAAAAAGGCCAAATTAACACAAAATGATATAGAAACATGAAACAAAAGTAAAATAAATTAAGGCATGCAGAAAATGTTAAGTCAAAACCTCTGCTTACATTGATATTGATGGCCTTCCCCGTATAGAAGACCACTCAAACGGAACTTGCACAGGATACCTAGTAAGGCTGTAAGAAATTCGTGATTTTTTTGGTCCAAAACATTGGGGGGAGGAGGCGGGGGGGGCACAGGTTGTTGTTTTTTTGCTGTTTTTGGCACAGTCAAAAAGGTACAGACAAATACAAAAAGAGACAACGGGTATATCTGTGTGAGACTGCAGTCCTGCCTCGTTGGTTTGTCAAGTCAGCGTTTGAAATGTTTGAGAGGTGTGGAGAACTGCAGCTCGCAGTTATAACTGAGCACGCACAACAGTCGTGCCCACAAAAAGGCAGCGAAAGGGTCGTTTTCCAAATTCCACCATAACCGCAGGACTTGCAAAAAGTCAGAACTATGAACTCAATCCACAGTCGAGGCAGACGGCCCTTGCTTTCCTCATTCACAAAGCATAATGTACTAGTAAAACACAGACTCAAAGTCCACACTGTACTGGAAAAAGCCCTGTACAGCAGTTTGGGAGACCCTCACTAATATTTGCTTCTCCCAGCAAAATAAACACCAGGTAAAAATGCAGAGAGGGAAGGTATTTTCTTGATTTTAAACAATATTGCGCTGCCGCTCAGAATCAGTTTACCATCTAGAAATTAAGAGCAATTTTGGCAATTATTTTGCAGGTCTTAGTAACATGCCTCTCACATTGCTGATGTTTTAAAAATAGTACTTTCTGCACATTCATTGAATGAGTGTTTTAGAATACAATGCAATGCCTGAGCATATAATACCCCTGGTGAATATTCTCTAATGTAGCATGGACTACATTCTGTTGCTACTTTGACATTTTGCGAAACTACTTTAGTTGGATTCATTTAATGTCTTTCATCATTAAGTGTCCTTAATTACCACGTGTAAAAACAAGGCAAAATGAAAAAAGATCATCACTGAATAGTTAAGAAATAAGGCCGTGCCAGTCTTTACTATCAAAACATACATTTTTACCTCCGTTTTTGTTCTAAAACGGTTTCCCCAACAAATTCTCGGCCTGCGATTCTCTTACAGCCCCAGTTATTCAATAATGTGAAAAGGTTATAGCTGCCAAAAAAATATGCATTGGAATATGCTTAATAATTTGCTAAATTCTTTTAAAAAGGCCTGTATTTACACATGTTCTCTTCATGCAAATGGTCTCTACAGTACACTATACAGCCAGAGGAATGGAAAATGCTTACATATGAACAGGAGTGCTACTAAAAAGTAAAAAAAACAAAAAAAAACAAAACAATTACAACACGTAATGCAAATTTACATCACATATACAATCACCTGCACTTTTTTTTTTCTTAAGGAAACAAATTTTTCGTTGCAAACAAAAAAAAACGTGATATGTAAAAACAATAAATGTTAGGACAAAGTTCTCTATTGGCTCCTAATGTAACATTAACTTGTTTACTTTAGTGGCTTTTCATTTGAACAAATATGGTGATACAAAGCCTACAGTTTTCTTTAAGGCTATGCAGTAAATGTCTTATTTGCTGATGCTGGCATCCTTCCTTTTATAGTGTGATGTGAGTTTATTAGCAAAAGCCAGCACAGACACTTAACATGCAATGACACACACGGAATTGTTCGATTACACAGGCCCTAAATCCGCTCATAAAACCTTCACAAAATAAATTGGCAATGTTACACCATGCTCCAAATACTGCGCGGACATGGGTTTCCACCCGCGATCTTCATCTGCCCAGGAGTGCGTTCCCGCTCGAAGCTGATGCTGCTTCAGTAGTCCCCAACAGGAGCGAGTTCTGGAGTGAGGTTCACTGTTATATTTTTATACAAACTACTCAAAGTGATTTCTGGGGTGTAGTTCAAGTTATTCAGACCATCCAGGTGCTGCCGTTCTTTGGAGTACCTTAGTAACTTGTACCTGCAGGATTAAAAACAAAACGAAATTCAAACTGTGTTCAGATAAACCGGCTGATGTTCTCAAAAGCGGTTCGTAATGTGTTATAGACTACAAATGTTTCTCACACCTTACTGCTAAATCAGGAAAACACCTGGAGTTGTACACATTGATGCTCTGAAATACTGGCAGTAACAGCAGAAGCTGCGATATCGCCAAGGTGGGATGATTTAAGAACTGGCCAAGATTTATTTGAAACGCACACGGGTTTTTCCAAGAAAATTCAATTCCCCTTCTTTTGTAGACCTCCCAGTCTTCAGAGTGGTCGGTTTTTCTTGGCACTCGAACCATGTCATATTCCTGCCATGATGCTGAACCCTAAAATCACTTTACACCCGTTCTCCCTTGTTTGACATTTCATATTGATCAGAGCCCTCCACTTCATGTCATGAATTTGGTTTTAGAAAAAAAAAAACAGATGTAATGTTCCCAAAACAAAAGCAAATCTAAGCAATGAAAGTGCATTTTAGAACGGCACATATAGAAATATTGAAATATTTCATATAAAAAAATAAAAGTGATATGGTGAAACCTCCAGCTTGTGGAATCCAACTTTTAGATCATAAACCAAGCAAACAAATGTGTATATATTTTAATGATAATACTGGGCAGACATCTGGAATATAAAACATGAGAAATAAGAATGATTGGTGGTTCAAATTCAAATACTGGCAATTAAAACACATTTACATGTTAAACTCGGAATTCTTTCATATCTACCAGTCATCACTTGGGAAATAAATTCTTAGCTTGTGGAACTTGGTATTCAGCATAACATACTTAAGTATGAAGTCCTACAAAACTACTTTGCAAAATGAAGCTATTAATTATATCAAGAATGCACTGTTCAGTGTATTAAGGTGTACAAGTTACAGTATATGCTCTGATGCTTACTCGGAACAATCATACTTGTAAGGTATATTTGTCTTTCCAATGTTTTCTTATACATATGTTTTCCTGCTCTATTCTTATATCATCATTATTTCAAAAACTATTCTTCTTGGGCAGCACAGTGCTGCAGTAGTTAGCATTACGGTCTCACTGGGGCTCTGGGTTCAGTTCCACACCTGGGCTGCTACTGGTGTGGAGTTTGTATGCTCTCCCCAAGTCTGTGTGGGTTTCATCTAGGTGCTCTTATTTATCCCACAATCCAAAGACAAGGAGGTAGCGTAATCAGCTTTAGAGAAAACTGGCTCTGGTGGGAGTGTGTCTGTGTGCACTACAATGGACTGTTGGCCAGTCCAAGGCGTGTCCTGCCTTTCTCCTGTTGCTTCCCAGGAGAGGCTCCAGCTCCCCTGTGACCCTGAATTGGATGAAAAGGATAAAACTGGACGGATGGATCTATTCCTCTGTTAAAGCTTATATCTGTCCATTGGGTCGGCTTCTTATAATCACTAAATGCTGAACACATGACACATTTAGCCACGTCCTTTGTCACCCAGGAATCCCTGTTCCTATCCTAGGATATTTAGTCCAAATATATTCTTCTGTCAAGATGTCACCACACTTGTATTTGCCGGTAGCGTAGAGAACCAACAAAATGTCACAAGTTACAAAGACATTCGAATGGCGTGGCCCGACTCCATGAAAACGTCTTGCCTATTCTGCAAAGAAACAGGGGCAGCTGATGATGATATTGGAAACGGTTTCCTGAGCACAGCAAACACTGTCCCTTCAGGTTCTAAATACTTTGATGTCTGGAAGTTAAAATGAATAAGTGATTAACTGGACCAATTTACCCATTCTCTCCTTAAATTGTTGAATTAGAGGAAGAATGACTAAACTGGCCCTGATGAACCCCAATCTAGATATTCCTCCAGGTCACCCCTGAATCACCTGTTATATAAAAATTAGAAACACTTGCTTAAGCAACTGATCAATCAAACAAAAATGTTTCAATGCAGGAAATACCAGGCCTTGAGAGCTGAAGGTGAAGGATATACTGTTTTTTGTTCCTAATGATCTCTGAATTACTTCATCGAACACACCACTTGCTCGATTAATTACAGTTTAATTGTTCAAGACCTTTAGAAACTGATGATGTAGAGGCTTCCAATAAAACCTGCAGGGCTAGCTCTCCCCAGCACCAGGGCTTGAGACCCCTTGAGACCCCTGAGACCGACATGCTAAAACAACACTGCAAAGCACCAACATGTTCCTTAATGACCTGATAAACCATTCTACAATTTAATCAGTATGAACAGCTCTAAAAACTAAAACAGTTCTCAAATAGTTAAATGACCATTAAACATCTACCAGTACTATTATTCCCAAATAAAAGTAACTGTACTATTATTTCCTGCTAATATTATCCTAAAATGTTCTTAATATCTTAATTGGCAAATGAGGATAGGTTATTTGCCAACAAATAGTTGCCAGAAGCTATACTGCATTTGACGTTGTATATAATATATTTAATATTTTCAACCAGAAGAATGTAGTCCATGACATATAATAAAACTCTGAAATACTGGGCCTCATATTGCTCTTACAAAAGTCAATCCCATTTCATTTTGCCTTTATTCATTCAACATTATTAATTTGGTTTTCAGTGTTTCATAATGTTTTTCTGTCTCTTTTATGTTGCTTTTCATTGACAAAGCTTATCTGGTTTCTTTGGGTATAAGTGAACATCATTAAGATGAAACAATTATTAGATGTAGCCAATTTCTTTCTAAAGTTGATCTACAGGCCTCTTCTTTCTTAAATGTGCGCAACTCAGCCCCTGGGCATCAGCAGTACTTCCTCCCTGTCTGTTTCACTTCCCTGTCACAATAGCTCGCCTTTGGACCCTAGATTCAAGCTGTAATAGACAGACAATGTAAACTGCCCAGTCCGGTCCTACTATGGTCTCTCATCACTAAGCGGTTTCTTCTTCTACGTATTATCATCCTCTTCCCTCATCATCGGACGATCACCTGTTTACACCTGGTCTGGGTTCTCCCACTTCTTGTGCCTCCTAAATCTCCCCCCACAGTCCTCTGCTGCGACACTGGCTACCTCCAGGACTGCATCGTCTCCAACCACCGACTGCCAGCTCAAAGCAAGCCTGCATATCCTACATTATGCCATCAACACTGGGACATACACTTGACAATACCCGTCACCATTTAGCACTACTTGGCAAAGTAAAGAACAGTAGGTTCTAGCAGAGCAGCAGAATAACTAAACAATGTCAGTCTTCAATTTTTTTCTGTTACTATTAAATAACTGAAGTCAAACTAAAAGGGAACTGGGAACATGCACTAGATCTCGACTACAGAAGGTGTGGGACTCTGCAACTACTCGGCATTACATATTTGAAAATCCGATACTGACCTCCCCAGGAACTGTACTTCTCCTCGGTGGTGATGTGGAATTGATTTGTATTTTCCCAAGTCTCCCTCGGGCCTCGTCACGTTGAGTCCTGCATAATGCACTCTGAAACAGAAGGCGTTACGATTGAAATTGGGGAACATTTACACATAAAAGTTAGGAAAATTTGGTCCGTAGTCATTTATTTACATTTCTTTGCATACAATAGTTTTGTCACTGTTGATTTAAATTGAAAACACAATTGTTTTCTGAATTGCATTTCAGAATGCAATTTCATTCCTTATGACATATAGGAATATACAATATATATGCAATATATTCCTTTAGCAATCCTGTGACATCAATGTACTTCTCCTCAATTTACCAATTTTTTTCCAAGTAATGTTACCGAAGTCCTCCTTTTACAAGTAACTTGTTTCACATTAGATACCACTTGTGTTAAAATGGAATTTATAATGAAGGTTTGGGAGGAGGGATGACCGCAGTCAGGTGCAACTGGTCTCAGCTGTCCTAAATTGCAGTCCTTCCTGTCGTGCTCACGTTGAAAGAGCTATAAATGGTATATGCAAGCTCCTTCCCTCCTTCGTATTTGCTTTCCTACATCCCTCTTCTACTCCATCTCCGCCACCTCGCTCTGAATGGGGTCTCAGGCTCCTCGCCCTCAGACCTTTTAGGGGGACAACCGCACCACACCACTGGCTCCTCAGACAAGCACAGACACCACATATCTGACCCTGCAGCTCCTCTTGTACTGAGCAGGATTACCGTGGCAACAGCACAGCATCAGTAGGGTAGAACTCACCTGTCTCATGACCGTCTAAACCCAGCTCAGCCGAGCAGGTTAAACCAAGTTTATTACGACAAAAGAGCTCAAACACACTTCATTTGTGGGTGTTATTATTCCCCAGTGAAGTGCCTTGTGCCTCAGTGAAGTCGGATGAAGGAGGCACGAGTACCCCTCGCAGCAGTTAACCACATTATAATCAGAACCTGAATCTGTCACTGGGAAACCCGACTCAACATCACATCAGCTCAGCTGTCAAAGAGCGTGCGCCTGATGGACAAAGACTGCACAGAGATTCCTGCTGGTATTTAAACCTCGATTCCTCCCAGAAAAGCACATCAGCCCATTCAATCTGATTCCAGAGGTTTGTACGAGTGAATCATTTACTGTCAAGCCTGGAAAAGTCAGGGAAACATCACGCTTCAGACAGGAGGGGAAGCACAGCAGTCTCTTTCATATAGACACTACAGAAGCGTAGACTCTGAGCTCTTCTGATCGCTTTCGAAGTGACTGCAAAGTCGCACGGTTCTGATGAGACAGATTTCAGCCCCCATTCACAAAAAGAAAACAGAACCGACAGCAACACTTTACTGCAATATCCGGCATGGAGGTCTAGGACCCCCTGTAATAAAGTCATTAAAACTGGGGAGAGTGAAAATCTGGGACAAGCCAGCCTCTGAAAGGCTCAGCTGTTGCTTCTGTCAGACTAGAGCAGAAAGTGGACAGGAGTCCATGTCAGCTGGCTGGTGTACAGACAACAGTGGCAGAGGCCAAAAGAAAGAAAACAAACAGAAGGCAGACTGATTGTTCAGACAGCCAAGGCTAAAGGTCTCCTGACCTGAAATAAACTCCGCATCAACTCTCTCCATTACACAGCGAGAAGCAACAAAGTCTTTAAGAAGCAGGCACTGGAAGAGGACATGAGCTGCCTCCTGTCGTTACTGAGCATCCCGAAAATGTACTGCTTATATACATATAATAGTTTTATAAATATTATACTATAATAGACTATAAGTTCTTATTATTATTAATGATGAAATAATAAAAATAATCAGTAAAATGTATATCTTCCTTGTATCAGGTGCATGGGAATTTATTGGATATATCACAGAGTACTGTGAAATTCACAGGGCAGCAATGGAAGCATTTTTTGGACGGATCAGATCTCAGGCACATCAGGTAGAACTCAAAATACTGCCACCACTTGAGTCTTATACACCACTGCTATCTACATGCTGGTGTACATTATAGCTGCTACAATGTTCCTGTCTCCAAGAATCATGATGTCATTTGTATGTCATTTTCAACGTCAATGTTATGTCACCTGTTATGTCATTTGTCGTGTGAGGAAAACACACAAGTTAAGCATTTCATTGCACTCAGGTACACATGACAAACTTGAAGCTGTTAATGCAGTCACATGGGATTCCATCCAGAATAAGGACAAGAGCTCACTGACTGCTTTCTGGGCTCCTGGGTGTCACAAATCATCCCAGCTCTTCTGTCGCGAGTCAGACAAGCCCTCACTGGGCCTCTCTCAGGGGACCGCTGCACTGCAGCCTGGAAGCTAGCGGGCACGACGGAAATAACAATTCTGAACCCGCCATTAAAAACAAAGAGGCGCTTTTATTTCACCCAGAGGGTCCTCCAGAGTTCAAAATGTCCAAAAAGCCCATGAAAAACCATGACTACTGAAATCCATCCCAAAACAGTTCAAAACTGAGCCATGTAATAAAACAATCTACAGTCTGCAGGGTTTGTAAGCAGCCAGCAGCTCTGCCTCCCTGCAGCTCTGGTCTGCCTTAATACATCTCAGAAATGTCTGCCCTCCCCAACCAATTAGTTCTTAAAAGCAACAATGAGAGCACAATCGTGCAGGTATACAAAACCCTGATGAATCACTCAACAGGCCTGATGCCGCCAGCGGCAAAGCCAGCTCACACCACCTGTCTGTTCGGCGATGAAGGCTGGGGAGCAGTCCACAGCGCAGGCAACGGCACAAGCACATGGTAACGCCAGCACCCCAAGCTTCCAGCGGGATCACAGATCCGGGCAGCTGATACTGGACCTCTGTTTGTCCAAATCCGAAAAGTAGAACATTTCGCTGAGCCTTAACTTGAGTTCGAAAGATGCAGTCGGCAACAAAATCGCCCCCCAAAACGGTGGCCTTGGGAATCTCTTATGACACTATACATCAGCAAAAACAAGTAACCTATGGAAAAACATACAAAGCATCTGGGTTCAAAAGCTTTTGCGGTGTCTTTGCATCTTCACAGAAGATGTACTTCTATACACTGTTCCAGTATTTTTTGGATACCACTGCTATATCACCTTCCAGTCTACGGCCATCTAACTTGAAATGATATACGTCTCGTTGGCCTGGAGTGCGCAAACATCTCCTTTCCCCAGTAAGCTCCCTTGCCAAATGCTGATATTCACTCCATACAGTATGTCTTGCATGATGATATGTAGCACTGTCACCTAATGGCATTCTCAGCTGTTCTGCTGCTGTTTAACAACTTCTTGATTTACGGAACAGTCCCACATTGTTGCACCCACACATCACTGTACTAGCTCTAATTTTTCCCTGTAGGTGAGACCTAAGCTTTGGCGCATTCCCAGAGTCTTGATTTTGATAGTAAACACAGGGCACAAGGCATCAGTCCGGCAGCAGAGTTTGGTCAATTTTGGAAAGCTCGGCAAAGGAGGAGGAAATATTCTGTAAATCTAAAAGTTGAAAACATCCAAAATTCACAATTTTTAAAGCAATACATTCCCCAGCTTTGTTACCACCTTCCCTAACTAATGGAGTGGATAGCTCTGCTGCCTGATAATTATTTAACAACTGCTTACTTATTGGTAAGAATAATAATACAATAACGACATGTGAAAAAAAAAAATCATAACAAGTAATAAGGACAATGCTGTGAATTCTGCTTTCATTACTAGAACATCATCTTGCAAATGTAATTCTTGGATCACTAAAGTTTTACATTTTTGTTTTAATCCGATACACGATAAATTATTTAATAAATCTATAAATCTGTAAGATCTATGTCTGGGACTGCACTCATGAGTTAAAACACTTTGCTACATTCTGTTCCAGCGCTGTTCACTTTGAAGAGGGTGTCAATACTATGTGTATTGGTGTGTTTGCATACACTACGGATAAGGGATAAGGGGCCTCTTTAGAGACACTGCTGATGACTCACCTGTTCCAAAGATCATCGTCCTCTCCACCCCAGCCCCAGAAAGCATTCGGAAATCCATTAATCTTCTGGAACTGCTCCACGGTCAGCCCACTCACCCCTCCAAAGAACTCGCTGTAGGGAAGACTGGGAAGGAAACAGCGACACTTAGGCACACTGATGGAACTTCTTAAACAAACGGGCAGAAGAATGAGGTGTTTGAATAATTAAGTAAATGGATAAACTGTATACTAGATAACTTACCTTACACATCAAATAATTTATGCACTTTTGGAAATAATTAAAAGAAATAATAAGAATGCAGCACCTTACCATATCGGTGAAGCACTAGGCAACAGAGAACAATGCTGAGCGTGAGGCTACTTCAGAAAACAAAATTCACTGCTTTATTTAACACACTTCCAGTATATTACTACACTAAACAATCCAAAACACTGACGGACACTTCACATACACTGGCTTGATTTGGAGGGGTCTCGCTGGGATTATAGACACACGTGCTAAGGTGACAAAAGCACAAGCAGAAGTGGGGACTATTGCCCAGGATATATCCAGCAAGGAGGGCTGTGTCATTGTCAGTTACAATGACAAAGGCAAGTTATTTTAACTGGCATCTGTCAGAGATAAAATCTCCTCAAATTAACCTCCTGTGTTAATAACAGTTAATAACGCAAGCCCCACTATGTCTGGCTATATCCTGTGTAACCTACTATGATGCTTATCCTCAGGGTCATGAGCTGCATGTTGGAAAGAACTGGGAGAACAGATTAACAGCAACCAAACCAACTCATTTTCTCAAAACAGAGCATATCAGGCACAGCAGTGCATATCAAGCGGATATGTCACTGCTCCAGAGAGCCCCACAACATCTTCACAGGCTCAAGCTGACCCTTTTTGGGTCCCACAGGCTGAAGCTTGTACTGCTTCACCTGGGCAAGCACGTTATCAGGCCTTCCAATGAGTCTATCTTCATATGGCAGGCTCAGGAACCTTTTAACGTGATATGGAACAAACATTTCAGTCCAAATGATTACAAAGTCAAGCAGTGCCAGCTTAGGTCTGAAAAAAGCGAGGGAATGAAAACAAAACAGAATTAGAACAGAGGAGGAAAGTGAACAAGTTGGACTAGAAACAATATCCAGAATACAGATCAAGGTTGTTATATATTTTTGAGAATATCACTGATTGTCTTCACATCCCAAGCAAACATGACAAACATTATATTTCTAAAAAGCCCAGTCAAATTAGCACTTAAAAGTACACTTCAAATATGAGTGTACAAGCTGAAATAGTAGTGTTCCGCTTTTATTTGCAAACGAGAAGGCCCTTTTTATTTTAGGATAAAAAAAGCATGAGAAAGCGGTGAAACCACACCCCCCTAACCTCAGGCTGAAGTGAAACGGCCAAACTTCTTTCCAAAATAACTAGCGCATCACCGCTTGGAAAATACATCTGCTGTCTGATTCAAGTTGTTGAAAACAAGTTGAAACTTGTGGAGATTTTAGTTAGTAAATGAAAGAGCTAACCGTTTCGTTCGGGAATCTGAGTCAAGGGGGACAGCACGCGAGACTAGAACCTGGTTTTAAAAGAAGTAGGAAACGGTCATAAAAAGCTAGGAACTGCTCAATAAAAACAAAAAAAAAGAGCCACTTACATATACATATACTTGTCGAGTTTAGCAGCAAAGTGCCGGGGCATTTGTCCACAGCCATAGTAATTCCGATCGTTCTCTGGGATGTGGTCCACGTCGTGGAAGATGAGACAGTCCCAGTCCAGGTCCTTCATGGCCTCCTTGAACCCGACGTTGAACAGCATGGCACGGTTAAAGGGCTGGGCGCCAGTCTAGCGGAGCAGGTACAGGTAATTGGCAAAGAGCGACGCACGAAGACCGGAGCAAACCTTCCCTTCAGACCTCAGTGTATATCATTACTAGCTAGAATGCCATGCATTGGAAGTATCATTTCAAGCGTTTCCTAAGGCAAACAGGAACAAGAAAATTTCTATGTTCTATCATTTTTAAGAAGCTGAATCCAAACGTACAGTATATCCTCGATTTAACGAACTAATCGGGGAGAGGGGGGGTCTGATACTCCCGAATGTCCGTTAAATCGTGTCTATATGAAACCAAAAATCCGTTAAATAAATTATATATTTTGAAGCACAACGCCACCCATACTTACGTGAAAAACAACCAATTTCGCTATATGTTACATACCATGCATTAGAAAATTATAAAACATAATACACCCTCTTTTAAGAAAAAGAGAGAAAAAAAACTGAACATCGACATATCAACTGGAAAATAACGGGGAAGTACAGACATATGAACCGTAGAACTTTGTCCCTTAAATCCAAAATCCATTGAATCTGGGTCCGTTAAATTGAGGATTTACTGTAGTGGGCATTTTGTTTCGTGTCCCAAATGCTTTCGAGGCCCCCTTCGAAACCATTAAGTAGATAAAAAGCTCTGAACAAAATGTGCGAAAAAATAAGGGAATAGTGACAGTTCTAAAACTGACCACTAGATGTCAATGACTGCACATAAGATGAATTTCAACAAAACTGCAAAGATGCTGCAAAGTAGTAACCTGTAAACCTGTATTTTGGTTCACATCATAAATAATCATAAAACACTGCAGAGAAATTTAGTTCCGGGGCCTGATTTTTCCAGTTACAGCTCTCAAAATGAGAAAAGTCTCACCTGCTCAATTACATAGATGGCAAACTGCAGGCGCTGTCGCTGGAGCATGGGAATCAGGTGTCGAAACAATATGGGGAGGTGTTCATGGCGGTTTCGGAAAGGAATGAGGACTGCCACCTGGAAAAAGCAATTGTACAGACTGGTTACGAATTATAATGCAACTGCCCTTTCACAAATACAGTATCTTTGATTGCTTCAAACTCCTTTTTCATGACTATTTTCTTCTGTTATACGACAAATAGCATATGTATACCAACACTGTGGGCATGGGGCAGTTGGTAAACCTTGTAAATATAGTATATTTCTGGAACATATTAGCCGGTGTGGCAGGTTCAGCTGCAGACTGGGGCGTCTTCTGTGTGGAGTTTGCATGGTCTCCTCAATGTCATGTAGGTTGTCTTCAGATGCTCTCTTCTTTCCTCCCACCTTCCTACCTCAGGCCCCGCCAGTCCGGGGTACCAGTCCCACCTCAGGCCCCGCCAGTCTGGGGTACCAATCCCACCTCGGGTCCCGTGTGTCCAAGGTATACTCTAGGCTACCACACCCCTTATCACGAATAAGTGACTTCATTATAATGCTGGACAAGCAGGCTTGTGATTTGTCTTTCTTATCAGTTATAACTGGGAAAATTTCTAACAATGTATTTGAATTTCTAAGAGCTTGCATTGCTAAATGATGTATTTTAAAAGAAGTACTTGTCTTTGAGTTCAAACAGCATTACACTCAAGACTACAAATGCAAATACTGGCTAGTGAAGCCAATCACTGAAGCTGGTATTATGCTCATGGCTCCTTATTCAACAAGAAGCGGGCTGTTGAAACTTGTTTTCAAATAGCTAAACAAGGAAACGTTCAGAAGAGTTGTGCCATTTATTTAACTGATGCTTTTATTCCACGTAAATAATTTTTGTAACCGTTTATACAGGTAGGCATTTTACCAAAGTCTTCTTACAGTGGCACAGCTGCAGATAATCTACCCAGGAAGGTAAACCACAGCTTTCCAATACTAATCCAGTTCCCTAACCAGCACACACTGCTGCCTGCAGCCTGGACTGGAGCTATTAGTCACAGCGCACCCAGACCAAGCGCAGTGTGCCGCAGTCTGAACGTGTTTTAGAGAAAAACCTGAAGGCACAGCACACTGTAGAAGGGTCATTACTAACCTTCCAATGAGGTTTGCAGTCTTTTGGCTTCCAGTGCCCGGCGATCTGAATGTCCAGGGACTTGCAAAATCTCTGGTGAATTTCTTCCATTGTTATTTCTGTCATATTGACATCAATACGACCCTCTGGAAGAAACAAGAGAACAGCATTTTTTTGTCAAGGTTTACAATCCGGTATATTAGTCTTATGGTTCCCAAACACCAGAAAGATGCAGACAAATTACAATTACCATTCCTCTATTTCACACTGTGGCACTTCAGAAAATCAAAAGGGGCTGAATACAGATAATGACAACATCTAAAAACTCAGCTAACCACAATCATTGACGTGTTAAATTGCTCAATTTGAGGTTTTTAACTTCAAGACAATTTTCATTCAGACACTGGGGATTTAAGCTAAAGCCTCCTGAAAAACAGAGATTATTTTTCCGATACACTCCTTTTGCAAAACAAAACTAAATGTTCAGAGGTGCAGACTGATAAGACTTAGTGCCTTTCAATCTTCACCTGCCTCAGAAATAGATCTTGTTTTCTTGCTTACATAAAATGTCAAGAAGTAAAAAAAAAAATCTGTTTTAAATCTGGAAATAATGTAACAAAAATGTCTAGACTCTGCACTAAGTACTTCAAAACTACAATGTGCATTTTTAGGTTTTCAAACAACTACTGCTTTTCCTTAAAACTATCAAGCGTTTTGAAAAGTAAGGTTTGAATGACTTTGTTGCCTGACAAGTAAACATAAGAACAGAGCATTTTAAGTCAGGCAAAAAAAAAAGGCATTTTGGGAACTGATTTAATACCCACGACACCTCCGTTCAACAAAGGAAACATGTGCCAAAGATAAGAATGATGCTTTGCTCTATTTAGTATCAGCAGTGCCACACAAATCCTGATCCTGTCTACAAACTGTATATTACAACACCTTCCAATACTCACTCATAGAAGGTAACTTCTCAGGACAAGGGAGGTTCTGGGCGTAAGTAAAATTCTCTGGAAGGTATGTTGTAGGTTGAGCGATATATTCACTGGAGTTACTGCCATCAGGGTAATCTGAGATAAGAAGATTTGGAACACACAATAAGCATTGCTTCATGCTGGCATCTGGTAAATAAGTACAACTCTTGACTTCCTCGTTTTCAAACACTGTGGTCTTTGTTAGTTTTTCACATTAACTTCAATTCCGAATGGCTCACATAGGGGCGATACTATAAAATGATAAAAAAGAGGAAGAGTGAAGGAGGGGCTGCTGACATTCTCTCCTGGGGAAAAAACCTTAATAACAGGTACATTAAAGTATGTATTTTTTAAACTTATGTATTGTCTAAAATTCCCTGGGTGTGTAATTCTTTAAAAAAATGTGTTACATTAATGAATATTCCCACAAAGTTAAGCACATTATACAAATATAATATTAATGTTTTTGTGCGATTCAATCTATACGTTATGCATCTCGATAAAGAAAAAAGTACAACATGTGAGGTTTCAGCTTTTTAAAATACTGCTCATGACACAATTCATAGCAAAAGCTGAGCTGCACATCAATTTCTAATGTGCATATTTCACAACCCTCCATATAATTACATAATTACTATAATGTCATTCCCTCGTATTCTTCAGTTTCCACACACACAAGCCTAGCTGTCCGACATGTGCTTTTTTAACATTAAATCATTTAGCACAGCATGGAACTGGCTAATCAGAGCACAGTGATGTTCTGAAATTGCCTGAGGAACACCCCATCCAACCGCATTGAGAAATTATGTTCACCACAAAATCAGACACACTTTAATGAATAGCAATGAACGAATAGTACTAATGAATAGCAATTGAACTACAATTAGCACTTTTTCATTCTGTTAGCAAAAGTACAAATCTCTTAAGTGCGTAACAGTGGTGCTTTGCCTGGCACGTCACATATAAAAAATGGCATAATTGCTCTGAAAAAGATACATTTTTAGTCCTTGCCCATAAATCCAGCATCGCGATTTTACTTTTATAGCACCAGGTGTTGGTGCCTAAGCTCAGGAGACAATATAGTTATTGGAGGCCAAAAACACACACTTCAGTATTCATTATTTAAATACATTCCTAATATGGAAAATAGCTGGATATGGAAAATTTACTAGTAACCTTTGGATCACGGGTGATCCTGAAATATGTCTGAATCGAGTCAGCTAGCTCTTATTCCATCATGGGATGTCCGTACAGTTAGCATCCACTCGCATCAAATCCAGAGTTTAACCGGCTGCCTGTGCCCTTTCCTGTGTTATCGCCCCCTGCCCCTCACAGGCATTCTTCTGTCCCAGATCGACATGATTCATCGGAGTCATGGGACCATCCTCAAGTCCTGCGGAAATCCCCAGATCTGCAGGACATTCTCATCCCCGGTTATGAACGCCCAGCAGAGCGGTGTTCTCCTGATGTCTAAGCAATCGGGGGAAGTTGGTCTCTCTGACGTTCTGAATCTTATTTTAATCTCACTCCTTGAAATGCTCTTCAGAGGGAGCATGTCTCCCCCTCCGGCTCTGCTTAGGAGCACTGTTACCGAGCTAGTTAAGAACAACTGCTAAGACAAGAGGAGCAACTAAGCGATGCTTTGGTGTTTAATGTGCATTAACCTTTTGAAACAAACAACAAAATCTCCTTGACTACAGGCCTTTAGTGCCATCTTCAAACCTAGGACTACCATCTTCAAAAACATGTGCAAGATTATACTGTGTATTTACATGGGGTCTGGTCAAGCATCACAAGAAAATCATCTCGGATGAAGCGTAACCCACCTGTGCCATTAAGAGTGCTGTTCTTGATCGTGTACAATCTGATCATGTGTCCTATTGTTCTGACGTTGTCCCTCAGCATCATTCCTTGGGCTTGAACCATGAAGAAGTAGGTGTTTGCTGAAAAACAAGAAATTAAACATGTTTCAATTAATTGCACAAATACATCTCATTTAAGATTATAATAAAAATGTAAGGTAGACGGGTATTTTTGAATATGTAAAATAAATGTAACTCTTTGTCGTTCTACAGAATACCAGTTGCCAGCAAAGGATTCTCTTTCAGCATCTCAGCCTGTCAGTAATCTATTCTTTTTTGGTAAACTTTCCATTTGCAAAGTCAATTACACTTCATTGTCATTCATCATAAATCCATTAGATAGTACAGATCATAACAGAGATGAATTTCTACCTTGGACAACAGCAATTTAGAACATTAACCATCCAAACCACTTCCTGTTTTTAAAACCATACAGAGTTTAATCCGAACATTGGCAGCTATAACAGACTTAAAAACCCACACCTGTTGGCAAAACAAGGTCCGGGCTTATTCAAATCAAGACCAAGGTCAAGGCAAGATCGACTTGAAAGCAAAAAATAATGATTCTGTCATTTTCATTAGTGATCATCAACACACTCAATCGGTAAAAGAACCCCCCAAAACTGATGTCCCCCGTAGCAATAAAATAACAACACAATTAAACAACTCTGTATCCATCCACTAAAAAGGGTAATCAATTCAACTCAAGACGAAGTGATCTCACTGGTATGACTCAATTATGGAAGAAGGTGTAACAGCTCAAAAGGTTACACGCACTGTAGCACTGTTCCAGATATAAGATATTTATTTAGGCAAAGCATTATCTGGTCTTTAACTTAAGATCTCTTTATATACCTCACGGTCCCAATACAAGATGTACAATGTCGTAGATCCATTTCAATCCAATCTATGGCCATCCAGGGCAAAACGTGTTGAGAAAAACAGCCTCATTTCCCAATGTAGTTCATCCAAACAAATAAAGCACAAGAGGTGCGAGTTTCTCAGGAGTGCCTCTGCACTGAAATAAACCTATCACAAAGGGCAGCACGCCTCCGGTGGCAGGAAGAAAAGGCAGGGGTAGAAAAAGGAGATGTGGCAACTGAATAATTCAGAGCGAACCGCGTCCCGCACCACTCAATAGCTGTTCACAGCATAGCCCTCCTCCTGGATCTAAACGCACCACATGGCTCAGCCCACACTGGTTCAAACGGCAGGCGGGACAGAAAAACGCACAGGCAGCAGGGCACCGTATCAAGAAATAAAGAGACCTCAAACTGGAGGTGAAGTCACGACTTCTAAGGAATGTCACGGGCCACAAGCAATACAGGCCTTGGACTTTGGCCCAGGACTGGCAAGAGTGGCAAGGAGATCCAACTGCTGTATGGTGTGCCTTGTGGGAAGATCATATACAAAGGTAAGCCTACAGAACAGTAACTACACTTGTCTTCTTGAAGAATATCGCACATGTGGCCGAGGCAGACAGAACACTATCCCTCCCCACACGGCAACGTCCTTCACCTGCACTGCGGTGTCCTCACTTAGGAAGCGCCACGAACTGTGACCGTCGGGGGAGAGAGAGGGCACAGCATGTCTTCGTCTTGCATAATGTGATGTAAATCTCCACAGAGAGACAGAGGACACTGAGCTGCCAGGAAGCCCATTACATTATATTCTATTAATAACTGCAGGGACACAATAGCTGCATTCAGTGAGGGCCTGCCGTGTCTAATGCATTTCTATTGCATTTCAGTGTACATCAGGACACATTTTGTGTGCCTGAAATATTCCCATATTCATGTTTATTTAGTTGTCTTTATCACCATGAACCTGAACTAATAAATGTGTCTTGCACTGTTGCACATATACACTACTTTAAGAATTACGCATGCAGGAAATTATTGCACAAACCATCTCTTTTTACTGAAAATCAGCTAAATACCGATTAATTCTTCAAGATTATAATCATCTATTAATTAAAAGAGAATATAATTATCTATTATTTAATGATCTATTAATCTATTTAATTGACACAATGGAAAAAAAAGATAAAGCCAGGTCAAACGGAGATTTTGAAATCTGTCAAATGCATTTTCTCCTTTTGAAATACTTGAGACTCATGAAAAGGAGTAGTGAGGTCTGGATGTGCCCCGCCTGGGAAGGACTGTAGCTACACCGCACCGGTCCTGCAGAGGTGCCAGGTGTGGCTCTTGGGAGATGTGAAAACGGGTCATGAAACATCCCGCATCACAGTCTGGAAAAGGAGGAGCGTTATCCCCAGAGTTAGGCCTGGCTAAACTCCGCTCTGGGTTCAACCAGGGCCGTATCTGCACAGTCACAAGGGACAGCTAGGAGAGGTGAGGCATGAAGCTCTCTTCAGTCCATCACTGTGTTCAGGGTGGGAAAAACAAAACACAGGGGAACCACGGTCACAAAATAACCATCTTAAACTGATGTTTGGTTCACAGTACATAGGAAAGGTGACAAGCACGAGGTGGCCACTTGGCCCATCTAACCCATTCAGTAGTTAATTGACTGAAGAATCTCGTACAGCTGTTTCCTGAAAGAAATCAATGCACCGGCTTCAACAACGGGGCAGCTTGTTCCACCACCCTTCGCACTTTCAGACTGGTCTAAACTTATACTTCCTGCAAGCTTAAGATGGTCAGATGCCACAGCACAGACCTGGCCTTTAAGATATACGATTAATAATTCGACGCAAATGCATGATAAACTGTCGAAGGCAAAACTTCCTACGGGTGCTCTGCTGTCCTCCCACAGTCTAAAAACTCACTGGCAGGTTAACTGGCTCCTGGTGACAACTGGCCCTGTGCGAGTGTGACTGTATATTTGTGTCACGTGATGGACTAGCGTCCCATTGAGGGTTTATTCTGCCTTGTGCCAGGAGGAAACCCACATGAACACAGGGCAAACAAAACATAATCCACACAGATCGCACCCCAGGAAGTGAACTTGGCACCAATACTAGCCACTGCATCGCTGTGCCAGCCATACCTACATGTTAAATGAATGTGGAAGCGTGAATGTGGAGTCTGGGTCTGGGTTACAGTGACTGACGACCCCCCGACAGCAGGGCAACACGCTGATCGAGCCCAGGGACCCCAGGAGCCGCCCCGGCTACGGTCTCGTCCCGACGGGCCGATTCCTGCGGTGTAGCACACCGCTGTCTGCCCGCGCCACCACGCCTCTCTTGCAAGTTCCGCCGGGGAAGCCCCTCGCCGCGGCCCGCTGGGATAAACCGGGGCAAAGTGTCACGTCAAGGGGACGGAATCCCACAGTAACCTGTTCCAAAGCCCCCGGCGCAGATGGACAGCTCACACTGCTTCCAGTGGTGGGCGCTCATGCTACTATCTGGTATCCATCACAGCAGGCCTGCTGGCGATCCCAAGAGACATTCAGCATAATGCATTTACTCCCGTCTGCTCTGCTCAATACAATACCAGTGCGCCTGCTATAAAATGGATGGCCAACTGCTTCGTCAGCACCGTCTGGATCTGTTGCACTTGTAAGTGATCAGCTCCTTGTGATGCTCGGTTTATGAACTAGAGGAAAAATGTGAGGTGTGGAAGACCGAGTGAGAGGAACTCTTGAGAAGGGTCAAGACAGTGACAATGCGTGGGAGACAGCTGTCTTCCTGCAACTGAAGCCTGTGATTTTTCACACCCCTGTGTGTTCAACCAGAGAGAAATTAAACAGACTGCAGGATGCCAAATGGCAGGTTCCTGTCCTGTTTCGTTTGTGTTTAAAAAGACTTCCGACAGCGTCCTGTGCTCCTTTGATAAGTTAAAGTCTCGCCTACGTTTCATGTATAAAAGGGAAAGTGAAACCTCCGTCGAGCGAGCACATTCACCGAGTGCGAGGGGAAACCCTGACTCTGCTCCCCTTCAGCTGATTGAATAAAGATCTCCGTTTGACAATTTCCTAACCTGAGTGAAGACTGAGTTTTCTTCGATAGAGGTGCGTGTAGAAACTACTGTGTTTCTCATGTAGGTTTTTAGCTCAGATTCTCAAAAGAGGAGAAGTGGTTTGTTACTCAGAGATACCAGACAAGATCATCTGCTCCCCCTCTGCCTCTTGGGCTGCTCACAGCTCCCGGCAGCCATCAGTCTCTTTCAGATCCCTGTCTGGGCCTGCGCAGCGCGGCAGGTTTAAGGTCGCCTGTCTCTTTGCTCATCAAACACATATGGTCTGAATGAGCACCAGGGCCGAAAGGCGTGAGGCTGATAGGACTTGAACCTCCAAATCAAATCAAAGTTTATTTATCAATTGCACAACAATACAGCGTGCAGCAGTAGTTGCTGGCAATGAAATGTCTTTTCCGTGAGCTCACAGAAATCACAAAAACGCATCACTCGGCCGTAGCTGAGGTGCGCTAGTGATGCCGGAGCAAAGGAGGAAACGGCAGCCGCTCGTTGATGCTGGGAGTTCAGATTGCACGTGTCGACAGCGTGGACTAAACCCCACACAGGAGAGGCGGCAGACACTTCCCTGCGTGTTTTAAACACACCCATTTCTTCACAGCACAGTCCTGTTTGAATAAACAACGCAGCTTCATATTGCTGAAGCGCATCGCCATTTGTTTACCACAAACACGGAAGTCTTCCTCTGCCTTTGCCAAAACAAAGGGGGAAAAAACTGGGAAGGTATTGCATTACGAGAATAAAATCGGGTTTAATCATTAACCGCCCTCTCCAAAACAACCCCGGTCCCCCCAAAAAACTACATTTTAGTATCTTTTTTTCTAATCGAGTGTAATTAAGAGAACATTCGAGAGAATATTGCTTGATTTTTGCATTTTTTGATACATGGAAAGGAAGGGGGAAAACGAAGGAAAGGCATAAAAGTCTTGGTAACATGAATAAGTGTTCTGCTAATAAATGTCTTTAATAGCATTTTAAGAGTTTTTGTGCAGTTTTAATGTCTCTTTGTGATTAAATCCCTTTTAGTCATTTCAACACAAAAAATGAAAATGAAAAGCATTTTTTCCCCACTCACTTTTAATGTCATTTTGCGTCTGGTTCACTTTCCCTGGTTGGAGTTTCTTTTCTTTGCAGAAACAATGT